AAATATGTTCCACAGCATCTAACACGGCATCGGCGGGTAGATCTGCCAACCGTGTAGGCGGGACGTCTAAAACATCTTCATTCCTGTCGTCGCTAAATCCGTCGCGTTGGGGTCGATCGCCCCATGCGCACCCGCATAAGGACGCCGGTCTTCTGGCATCGCCACATGCGTCGGCTAATTTGTCGCTACAGAACAAGTTAGTAGTCAATTTATAGTTAAAGTTAACAAGAATTTTGTGTGAATGTGTTAGTATTAAATACAAATTAAATTGAATATTATTGAACATTTATAATAAGGAGTCGTGTAAATACATTTGGGAAAACAAACAGAGAGACAGATTTAAATTTATTACCCAAAAGAACCCAGTGAACCTTTTTAGGTCTGGGACTCAGATTTCTGTATCTGTTTCGTGATCTTTTGTTTTTACTAAAAGGCAAGTAGGAGATCAGCCTTCTGTGCCTGACACACGCCGTCGACTTTTTGGGTCTACGGTTTTCCTTCACCGTACGAGCGACGGTTATACGCGTATATAGACAAAGTCCATTGGTGCATAACCGGGGTTTCCTGCGACTTCAGGGATGAGAGTTGCATCCTAAAGCAACTAGGCCAGCACATTAAATACCTACGTTTACTTTATTTTCTTGCATAACAGTAAGTTTATACTAATTGAATAGAAAAAAAACACAGCTGTAAGTATCATTTAAACAAGATTCAAGACAAATGATGAAGAGTGTAATTCTTTTATTTTGGGTTGCCTGGAAGAGATCGCTTGCTAGCGATGAGGCCGTTGTCTCCTTAATAATTTATGTTACTTGTAATGTAACTAAGTTTAAATAAAAAAAATCTTAAATCCTAACCTAAAATATAGGTTAAATATTATATATTTTAAAGAAAATTAGTATTGTGCGTTTAGAGATTTTTCGATTTTGGTGTTAAACTGTATACGTATTAAATGGTCGAGATGTTTGAGGCAGATAATTCATAATAATAATGTGTTCAGGGAGAAAGTCCGCGAGTGGATAGAGTGCGTAGCGAGCCGCCTTCAACGCGAGTGGGGCGCTTTGGGCGGCGGGGGCGGAGCCCTGCAGCAGTTGGCGGCACTCGCTGTTGCTTTGCCACGCAGGGCTGATTTGGCCCTCGACCCGTTGCTAGTACTGCGGGACACGCTAGCGAGACATGATCTGTCGCCTTTCGAGGTATAGTATAAATTTGAGAGGGGATGATACAGGAAAGCCGTGAAAGGCTTTTATGATTTTAATGTTGTATTGTCTTATTAACATAACTTTTACACATTTAAAGAAAACACTTTTTACCGGATTAAAGTTATGTATTATTATAAAATTATAATTGATATGTGATACTTTTTGACATTCAATACCTTTTGTCTTCAGTCACCGTGACCACGCACGCTGTAAAGCACGCGAAACGTCGGAAAAAAAATTAATTATGTAAAATAATTATAAGTTTATAATAATACATAACTTCAATCCGGTAAAAAAGTGTTGTTTTTTTGACATTAAAATCTAAAGAAAACACCGTACACCGTAAACACTTTTTTACCGTACGTACCGTACATGACGAAAAATTAAATATCTCTAAAAAATAAGCTCTCACAATGAAAACGATTACAACAAACAGCACAATTCATTAGATACAAATAAAACAAGTGAATTAATCTATTCAGAATACGATTCCTAGTCTCAAACACTTCTATAAACACAATGACTTTGTCAGGTGAATCACTCCGGTGTCATCGGCGCCTTACTCCAATTCCTTACTGGGTCGGAGACAGACTCAGAGGAGCAGGAAGGTGAAGGCGAGGGTCGGGACTCAGCCGAACAAATCGCTGCTTGTGAAGATCGTTTACGACTCTTCTTACATGTCTTCGCTGATATGCCTCTTGCGCCCGAGTGAGTTTCAAATATATATTTTAACTATTTCATTCTAAAAATATTATTTACACTACTTAAGCTAAGACAAGCTAGTTTTTATAATTAAACTAATTGTAGTTAAGCTACAATGTTTAAAAAAAAAATCTTATAAACTAATTATCACGCAATACAAACAATCATTAATCATTTTAAAATTTATTAGTGAAAATGAATGGATGGAAAAGGCTAGCAGTATCGGCGGTTTTGCGTCAATCGGCGCAGGCGCATTAAGCGCACTGGTGTCAAAGGTAAACGCGTGCGTGTCTCACTTGGAACAGTTTCCTGTACGCGTACACGACTTGCCCGCTCGTCCTGCCACCTCAGCGCTTAAGTTCTTCAACACGCATCAGCTAATGGTAATTATTTTTTAACGCACTTTATTACATTTTCTATCGCGTGTCTGTATGAAAGGATGAATTTTTCAAGGATTGACGAAATCCGAAACTATAATCAAAACATTCTGATGAGGTCTCGCTAATCAGATTTTGATTAAAACACCCTAAATTCTAATAAAATGAACCACTTTAACGACGACTCATTGGTCTAGTGGTTAGTACCCCTGACTGCGAATCCATGGGTCCCGGGTTTGATCCCCGGCTGGGACGAACATCGATGTGATGAGCATTTGGTGTTGTGCTTAGGTCTTGGGTGTTTAAATATGTATTTATATGTCTATCTATCTATAATATGTATGTATATCCGTTGCCTAGTACCCATAACACAAGCTTCACCAGCTTAGCATGGGATTAGGTCAATTGGTGTGAATTGTCTTAAAAAAAAAAAAAACTTTAAATAAAAATAATAACACAAAATAATAATTAAAAAACATTTGCCAAATCCGTTACGACTGTATTAGTCATGTGGCAAGTATAAATTGTCATATTTGTCTAAAAGTGTATTCAGAATACTCCGTGTAAACATATGTGATACATTTTTGGTCATATATTCTATGCTTGTGAAATAAGAAAGGTTGTTTCTGATTATAATAGATAAATCATTCTAATACAGATATATATAATTTTATATTTCAGTACGTATTCTATGAACAGACCTATTTCTATAGGATAAAACTATGTGGCTTTTAAGCTTGTATCCCTTTCCAACTGTTCGAATAATATGCATAATTCACATTTCCTAATGTAGATACAACCGTTACAGTGTGATCTCAAACGTCATCCAACATGTACCACATTGAAGCAGTGGAAGGGAGGAGTGGTGCGGATAGACCCCTTAGCATTAGTACAGGCCATTGAACGGTAAGGTTTTAGCATTTTTTTTTATAGGAATAAGGGGGGGGGGTAAGCCCGTAAAGGGCGCGTATTTTTTAAAAAATCCTACTTTTTTCATTGAAACAAAAAAATCACCAATTTGATAAACGCGTGTAAAACTCTTGAAAAGTTTAATTAGAGGAAAGCTGTACGTATGCTTTTGTGAATGTTATTGTTTTTTTTCATAATATTTCTAATAACGTAAATTAAATGTAATCTAATATTATGTTACTAATTGTATAATTAACGTCTTTAGGGTATTAGAGTACAGTTTAGTGAATAGAAGTTAAATTACAATTATTCTATTTGTAGATCGATGTAAAAATGGTTATAATTAAATACAATCTAACAAAACTATCAGCGGCTATATTCTTTCGCCTTGCATCTCAGGAACTAACCGACTTAAGTATAAAAGAGGGACTTGATTTCTAAGAAATTAGAGATTTAAATAGAAGCCGGCTTTGAATCTCTCATCTTTGGTAATACAGGTATCTAGCACAGCGCGGCTATGCTCAAGCCCGTAGTCGTGAGGGCACAGGCCCCCATACTGATGATGAAGCAGCCTCCGATGACGATGTTGAAGACACACTTGCTACTACTCACCATGTCGCTGAGTAAGCAGATTTTTACTTACCATGTTAATTTGTCACAGATACAGAGCAATACGTACTTATCATATTTATATGTGTGTGTGTGGTATTGAGACAGCTATATTGCAGTCAATTCTAAATCTATAAAAGAAAATGTGTGTTTCTTAATATTTGAGAATTGTTGTATCTCAATAAAAAACATCGGTGGCGCTAATATGTTATATGTTATAGCGCTACCTTTATAGGTCTGGGCAGATATCTGTATCCGTTTCATGATCATATGGTAATCTAACAGGCAAATAGGTGATCAGCCTCCTGTGCCTGACACACGCCGTCGACTTTTTGGGTCTAAGGCAAGCCGGTTTTCTGGCGATGTTTTCTTTCACCGTTCAAGCGAATGTTAAATGCGCACATAGAAAGAAAGTCCATTGGTGCACAGCCGGTAATCTAACCTTCGACCTCAGGGATGACTCTCATCCCACGCTGCAGTTACTAGGCCAATACTGCTGATATCTCAATATAAATTTTAAAAATGATAATTTGGTGTTGCTTTTACGGAATATTTCTGTCACCTGAAAGACTCGCGTATAGTAGCGACCCTGAATCAAGGTAAATTCTAGACAAAACCGCCATAATCTGTATTGGTCGGAACTAAAATATTTTGGAAAATGTACACATTATTTTACTAGTAAACAAACTTGAAACTGCAAATGAAACAATTTTTCGTTAAGAATAATATAAATGTGTGTATCGCAGTTTTCTAAAGATTGACTTTTCTACAGGTCGGATCATAAACTGGAGTTTCTAATAGGAGATACAGTTCTGCCATACAACATGACTGTATATCAGGCTGTAAGACAGTTTGGCGAACAAAATGACGCCGACACTGACACAGAGACACCTCTAGGTAAGTTGTTTTTTACTTAAACTTTATATTAATGCCATATAAAGAGAATGAATTAATGGGCAATATTGACCAACACAGGTACTATGGTTTACTTGTATAAAAGACACCAGATGCATAAATATTTATTTATTCCGTACTTCTACAGCTAACATAAATTATATATAACAAAAAACAATTATACTAAAGGTATAGCTAAAGATGGAATACGAAAAGATTCAAATTTTAGAACGGAAAAAATAATAATAAATATTTAACACATTTAACTAAATAATACCTTATTCAGCTGTGTTGTGTGATAGTATGTATGTGGGGTGTGTTCATGATGAACGCTGTTTAGCGCTATGGATATTTTGGATATTCTGCGATAGCTTAAACAAGTTGAGAACATAAAATATTTTGCAGCAAACGCCGGTATATGGGTACAGACACATACAATATATTATCGCGCCGTGGAAGGAGGCGAACAGCCACGTGCTGACTCTTCTACGTCGCGTAAAGGAAAAGGGCAAACAACTAAAATGTCGTCACGACGGAAACCAGACTTATTGTGGACCGGTATGTAGACAAATCAAACTAAATTCATATTTCTTTATAAAAATCAGAGCATTTGGACGCGTTAACTCTTTCTATAGTTAACGTAAGTTGTGTGCAATATATGCCAAACTTAGTTCGTTACGTGTACGTGTTACGTTACGAGACATACGTCATGTTTTACATCCTCAAAAGATTTGCGCCATCTGTATAAGCTAGTTTGTAGCGTCTTTTAATTTTACAGAAGGCATAGTACCGGTGCAGTTAAGCTCGCTAGCGGTAATGCTGCGGTCGGGTGCGATCTCAAAGTGGGGCACAGACATGAATGACGCATCTTTGCCTGCCCTGGCTCTGCTCCGAGCTTTGCATGCCCTGTCTCGGCACTGGCACACATTGTACCGAGCTGCCTGTTTGCCTGACCATCGCTCATTGGTGCCCAACTCGGAGTTTATTAATACAAAGGTATACACTATACATGTTTATAATACTTCAATTTCTTATCTATGGTACAACTTACTTACTTGTGAACGGGTGCTTCTTGTGGGGACTGGTCGGACCTGAATTCGTGTATGCGGTGATGTTAGTTATTTCGACTAGTCGTGTTGTTCCCACGAGAATGTAAGTGCGTGCTCCTATTTCACCATATTCGATAGAGGACAAATCTTTGTTTTTAATTAATTTTATTATGATTAATTAAGTATTGACTTCTTAAGATGTCATGTGGAACATTGTGTAAAACTAAAAACTTGGCGATTAAAAAGAGTGGCGGAGAGTTTATTGCCAGTTCTTCTCTTCCGTTCTACGCCCTTGATTTGAGAACTGGCAGTAAATGTTAGATTAGAAGCATTTAATATGTTTCTTTTTTAACTTTCATAAGTGTACATTGTGTTACCTATATAAATAAATTATTTTGAATTTTAATTTATTGCTTTGTTATTTGCTATTTTATTAAAAATATAAATTACTTTGTGAAGTAGAACCCTTAGCACGAATAATAAATAAAAACGTATATTTAACCGAGGAATATAAAAAAAACATCCTTTACCGGAAAACTGGATCTTTCATATGTTACTTCTGTTTTCAGGCATTCTAGTCAGAAACTCTTATATCGCAAATTCTGCATAATGCACATAACATTTGCTGTATTACTAAATCTATTTAATTGTTCACAGCTTGCCGCAAAGGCAAATCGACAATTACAAGACCCACTTGTAATTATGACTGGAAACTTACCGCCTTGGTTGAAGAAAATTGCATATGCTTGGTAAGTTTAATTTTATATAACGACTTTTGGTATGTATTTAAAATTATTTATTTATTTATATTATTGTTTGTTAATAATATAACGAGTTGGAAGTTACGTTAATATTTTGGCTTCTACCAAACTTGAATCTACTTGTGTACCCTTTTTTAATATTACAATTATTTAATATTATTCATGGTCTAAGAACCCGCTATACAACGACCTTCACCGAGATGCTTATTTAATGAAACTTATTTTATATTTAATTTAATATGTCAATAAATATAATCCATATGGGTTGCCTAGCAAATTTCAGTCCAGAGTATTTTAATTAATATTAAAAAAAAAATATTTTTTTAAACATTTCACCGGTATGATTATTAGATAAATTCTATACCAATCGAAAGTATAAAGCCCATAGAATATGCAAACGTTAGGTTGTTTTTAATCAATTAATTATTTGTGTATATTTTTTATGTGACACTAAAGTATATATACATCTTTAGTATAAAAAGAAGGTTATATTGATACATATATAATACTACCCTGATTAAAAATATTGATTGAAAAAAGTTCAAAAAATTTACTACATGAAAATTATAAAAATCTTTTTTTTTTTTAAATATTAATTAAACATACTCTGGACTGAAATTTGCTAGACAACCCATATGGATTATATTTATTGACATATTAAATTAAATATAAAATAAGTTTCATTAAATAAGCATCTCGGTGAAGGTCGTTGTATAGCGGGATCTTATACTATCAGTAGTATTCTGCTTTTTTAATCCGTTATAAAAGCATATGCAAATTAACTGCAAGTAAAGGTATTGATATGTTATCTAAAGCTGGCGGCTTCAACACATTTACACTTTGTGCTTGTGTAGTGTCTGTGAATAAGCGCGAGGCGTTATGTCAAACTGAATATGATACATGTTGATCTTTTTTCTCATTATTATTTTGTCTGTGATTGTTTACTTATTCGGTTGGAGGTTAGAATACTTTGAAAAAAATGTCTAATGAAATATATTCCGTCTTAACATTACCAGGACAATCTCGTGAAATGGTGCACAATGTTTTTAATTATTTTAAGCATCTTAATAAAAACAGTTTAATGAAAATTTTTATTTTTAATTTGACATCAGATGCGACTGGGGTTTCTAAGAGGAGTATTAAAAGAATTGTTAGTGAAGGAAAAGTGAAGTGTGTTGAGCTAGATGGAGCTTATGTCGAAAAATGAAAAATTATTTACACAAACTACTCTTTTACGTTCTTGGTCTGGCTTAGAACTTTTGGATCCACCCTCGTATGCACATAATATGTATATGTATTTGACACATTTTTATTTATTTACAACCCACCCAACCTTACTAAAACCAGAGTAGACTAAAATATATAGCTTGGCAAAAAAGTCATATTTTTAAACATACTGTAGGTATCGTGAAATTGCATTAGTGTGAGTACTGTGAACGCGCCAGCTTTCGATAACCGACCTATACCAACATAACTTAATTGGCTTTTTATTATTATTTTTTCGTGGATTAAAGTACGTTATTTATTAGGATACTTATAGTTCGTTTTGAATGGGAATAAAATCTTAACATCATAAATTATATTATTTTATAGCCCCTTCATACTACCATTCGAGTGCCGTCACCTTCTGTTCTACGTGGTGTCCTTCGACCGTGACCGGGCCTTGCAGCGTTTACTAGAAGCGGGAGGAGAAAGGGGAGCTCCAGCTGCAGGCTCCAGTGAAGCAGAGAGAGTGGCCCCGAGGTTGGATCGGCGCAAGCGCACCGTGCAAAGGGACAATGTGCTGAGGCAGGCCGAGCATGTTATGCACGAGTTTGGACATTCAAAGGTAGCTCAATTTAATCTAAGAAGCTTATAATTGTTTTTTTTAACCTCCCGCTAGCCACAACTTGGAAATTCGAATAAACGTCTAAGTACACATTATCAAAATTAAGTAGTATACACATGAATCTCTTAAATATCTTTACAAAATAATTTAGTTTAACAATCTATATCTTATGAAAATGATACTAATATCCTTTCACATTTCAATGAATCTTTGCTTTAATGTCACAACTATTCCAGGCTCTATTAGAAATCCAATACGAAAACGAAGTCGGCACCGGTCTCGGGCCGACATTAGAATTCTACGCGCTCGTATCCCAAGAATTGCAGCGGGCTGATCTCGATTTGTGGCACGGCAGTGAAAACTTCAAACAGAAGCCCACGTCGTTTGGCGGGGAAATAGTCAAAAGCCAGCCAACGGTGGTCTCGGACAGGTCTTCGGATGCCGCCACCCGTTTAGCGTCTTCAGTGCGTGACGCATTGAATCTTGACGACGACCGTTCGCCCGAGCCGTCTGATTTGGAGAAGGAGACATCCATACCTTCCCCCGCACCTGACGCCACTTATGTTTCTTGGCCGTGTGGCCTTTTCCCACAAGCTATTGGCAGGAATGCGAGAGCCTCTCATCTCTCGAGAGTGAAAGCTAAATTCCGCTTCCTTGGAAAGTTTATGGCTAAAGCGGTAATGGATTCTAGAATGGTGAGTTAAAATGTGCAAATCTTAAATCGTCATGCGTTGTTAAGACATTAGTATAAAGTCTCTTTTAGAATTAAGTCAATATTGTTTTTGTTAAAAATTATAGAACATTCATGTTTTGTGTACATTATATTAATAATCTAAAGTTTTTTCTTAGTTAAGCAACTCATTTGGTGTTGTTTAACTGTTTTGCGTAAAGTAGATAAAGACGTGAACGTATACGTAGAACTGCACGCTAACATGCGAGTATACTTTGCAGGTGGACATTCCCCTATCGGTGTCCATGTACCGATGGGCAGTAAGCGAGCAGCAGTGGCTCAATCTTAGCGACGTGCGACACGTCGCTCCTGAACTGTGGCGGTCGTTGTGTCGCCTACGACGCGTCGCCGATCGCGCTCAGGCTATCGCCACAGATGATAACTACTCACCTGAACAAAGGAACCAAATGGTATTGCCATCATTTTATTTAATAGAACTTATAAAAACCAATAATTTTTTAAATATTATATTTTATTTATTTTACAAGTTGGCAGACCATAAACTAACTTGTGTGGCATGATTGCTATTAATTGTATAAAATAATATTTGTATATTGTAAAAATTAGATTAACGCATTGGAGCTGGATGGATGTCCTATCGAAGAGCTGGGTCTAGATTTTATCCTTCCTGGAGACGGATGCACCGAGCTAAGGCGTGGCGGGCGGGACATACCCGTCACGGCTCACAACTTACATCATTATATCGCCCTCGTCACACACTGGCTGTTGTATGAAGGTATGTAAATAATTTATGTATCGGTAATAAGTGCCGGACGGCTGCACCAAATGTAATAACTACTTCTTTGAGTTCATTATTGTCAGGTCACGGTTTGTATAAAAAAAATACAATAAGTTTTTTTCTATCTATATCTAGTTGATTGAGTAAGACAGACTATAAGAGTATATTAACCGAGGCTGGCTATATGTTATCTGCTGGTTATATGGCGGTACAATCTAATTACGTCGAATCTGTTTACGAATTAAATAAAATTAGACAGTTAATATCAATGTTTAATTTCAAATACAAACGTATACAAAAAAACAACAGTTAATTGCCTGGTTGTGTCGATTTTCCGGAAATTTCCCATCGGCTAAGTTTGTGCCGAGATTAATAAAAAACTTAATTAGTTCAAAAACGTTAATTTTCATACAATAGAGTACCTAAACCTAAATAAGCTATTTTACACTAAATTACGCAACGTATAATAACAGTAAATAATAAATGGTAACTAAATGTATATAAAATGCTTCAGCAGTGAATGTTTAATAAACTGCGTGCATTAGAACCATGTGATATTTCTGGTTTTCTCTTAGACTATTTAATAACGAATAACGACTCAAGCTAGTCAAAGCATCTATGGTATCAGACAAAGTAAATAATGTTTATTTTTCTCCAGGTGTAACAAAACAGATGGACGCATTTAAAGAAGGTTTTGAATCAGTATTCCCGTTGGCCAATCTCAAAATATTCTATCCAGAAGAATTGGAACAAGTCTTCTGTGGCAGTCCATCAGGTATTATCAATGATTTACATTGTTTCGACAGGTTATATTATTATTATCCATTGACTTCCTTATACAAGATTTCATTTCGATATCATCATCTGAACAATACAAGATATAAGTATAAAACTCCCGCATAAGCAGACTTAAAGGAAGTCGTAACATTTTATTTGTTTTAATATAACTTATATATTTATTCTAGAAACTAGTTCTATTAAAAACATGTTCTTTAATTCTGTAGTTTTCGACAGCAATTTCCTTATATGATATAGGTTTTTGAAAATATAATTTATTCTCAGGCGGCAGAGAGCAGCGTTGGGAGCCCCGTATGCTTGCGGAGTGTATTCGACCAGACCACGGATTCAACGCAGAGTCGCGTGCTATACGTATGCTCATAGATATACTAGCCTCATACAATCGGGAGGAGCAACGGCTGTTCTTGCAATTCGTTACTGGAAGCCCTCGTCTACCCACTGGTGGTAAATACCATAAATCTATTTACTTCACAATGAACTTAAATAACTCATAACTTTATTTATTTGTGCTGCCTCCCATATAACTGTACAAATTCTCAATATTTACTATAATAATCATTTCACAAACAACCTTCTAAAAATATATTATATGATTTAAAGCTTCTATTTTAAAATATCTTATCTGAAATATTTTTGAAGTTATACTTCTTTAGGCGCGTTATGAAAAATTGATGAGAGTGAAATTTTACGATGCGCGCGCACCTTGATAAAAAATTAACAGAATGAAGTTGCCCACGGAAGATGCTACGGCAGTGGATATAATTTATAAACAACATTCGAATTTATGTTACATTTAATGTAAGAGAATAATAATAAATATTTATTTATTGAATTTTTCAAATGTAAACTGAACTTTATTGACTATAATGGCTCCTTTTCCAGTCTTTGATTATTTAATTGTAATTAATTATTTGCATGCAATCAAAAACTATTTTTAATAATGCCAAAGAAGTATAACTTCTTACGCGCGTACATAAGTACACGCACCCTTTTTTTCTAATGCAAACGATTCGATACAGGTACAAACATATACACAGTTACGACATGCAATAGAAATTTATAAAAGACTGGCTTATGTTCGTTATTAAGACATATTTCTCTTCCAGGCTTCAAATCTCTAAACCCGCCGTTGACGGTAGTCCGTAAGTCGTTGGAGTCATCTTTAGACCCGGACGAATACTTGCCGTCAGTGATGACGTGCGTCAACTATCTCAAACTGCCCGACTACAGCAGTGCTGAGGTAATGCGTGCCAAACTGCGACTCGCCGCCTCAGAAGGACAGCATTCCTTCCATCTCTCCTAAATTGTCGTTTATTGTATGTATATGCTTCATACCACCATCGTGTAAATGTTAAATGCGGTTAGTGATATTAATAATTACTATATAAATCGTTTTGCAGCATCGGACTGCTGTTTATGTGCAATTGAGAGTGATTTAATTCAGTGCGACAGACACTAAAGGTTCTGTGTTCTATTGTTTGTTAGATTTATGTAGATTTCAGAGATATGTTAATACTTATATTTTGCGTTAATTTAATTTGATAGTCTTATATTATCATTATTTGGAGCAGATTTTTTAATTGTCTAAAAACTCAAGAATACTGTTTGTCACGTTTATATCTAACTTTCAAATTTATTCTGTAGTAAAATGACACGTAAAAAATCAGCCCTTAGAAACTAATGATTCTCCATATACTGTATTAAGTGTGATGTGGACTATGGCTTCAGAATTGTGTGCAACTGTAAGTAGCTGAGCTCATATTGCCACCATTGTTTATGATAACATAAGCTAATTTTAATGGACCATCAATAGTCTCTTTATGAACTTCTATGCGTTACTATAGCATTTACAACCAAATGGTGTGTTTTGATTAATATTTAAGTATCATAAAGGAATAAAAAAAGTGCAAAATTTAATATGTAACAATTTCAATAAAACCATGTAAACAATACTATTTTGTGATTTCTTTTTTGTCCTTGGTTATAAAGGTAATATTGTTGTAGACACTAAAATGGCATCTATCCAATATTCACACTCAACCTGTTGGAAATATTTGAAGACATTAATTAAAACAAGCAAGACATGTATTGATAAACTTTTAATGAAACTATTTACATTAAAGTAATATAAGGATTCAATATCAAACTGATAAACATAATTTCTATCTTCTTCACCTTCAAGAAATGTGATGTGAAAAACAAATTTTATTATAACAATACTTAAAACTTACTCTACATTTAACAATTAAACTACTAACACATTAAATATATCGTCGGTCTAGATGTGATAGCTCGTAACTAACAATTTTTGGTAAAATTAGATTTTGATTCAGAAAGCTTCAAATAGTATTTCTGGTGATAACCCGTAAATGTCTTGAGCATAGACTACATTTTGACGGCATAAAAACGACTTTTAGTGACATCTAGTAACAAACACTGTTACTAATTCAACTGGTGTAACCTCGTTACATTTACTAGTGACATCTAGTATCTGGCACGGAACAAATTTGTTATGGTGGGATCACGTAAATGACACAATAGTGATTACTCGTAACTGTGCCTTGCCAAATTCGTTTGGTGAGAACTCGGAAGTGCACATTGTTTCAAAATGGCGTCGAATAAATACAATTCTCTGCAAGTAAGTAATTGTTTTTTACTAAATTAAGTGTTGTTAGCCTTTTAGATATGTTTTTATTTCATGACATTGATCTGCTATAGATAATTAAGATTTCGTGGCGATATTTGCGCTGTTCTTACCGACTATTTTATTACAAATTTGGTTACTACCTATTGGAAATGTAGTTACGAGTAATCAATTCTTAATTTATTAAAAGCGTGTTGTTGACAGTTATCAGCTATTAATACATTTTATGTAGATACTAGTAAACACGGCAATAACTATGTTGTCGGTTTATTAACATTTTTTGATATTTTACGCATTTGCTTACTTGTAAGCTCATACCCCCTTATTCCAAAACATGGAGTAAAGTTAGTCCTGGGGGGCCCCGGCTAAAAAATATGGATTTAGATATGGGCTTCATCTGTCATTTGAATCACTTATTTGATACGATTTTCGCTGCTTTGTTCTGTTGAACGTTGCTAGCTAACTATTATTATACCCGACGTCACTAATTAGGGAACTGGTAGCGGCAATGTTTTTTATAAAATTGACTATCCGAAAAACGTATGAAGTTCATATCCATAAAGTTATTCATATCCATAAAGTTACGCGGTAGCCCCCCAGGCTTATAACTGATGCTACCTAATTCTGTCTTTAATTTGGAAAATGAAAGTGACAGCACAAGTTTAGTACCAGTTTTAAATCAGGACTATTTTAGTCCACGTTTTGGAATAAGGGGGATAGAGTTACCCCCTGTAAATGTTGGTCCCTCGGGAACTGTTAATTCTTCCGAGATAAAAGGTACCCTATGTCCATTTGTATACCCCAGACAACATGTATGTATGTATGAGAAGTGAAGAGGTAACAACAAACAACACTTACGCATTTATAATATTAGTTAGGATTAGGATAGAATAATGCGGGCGTTCGCTAGTTTTCAGTATAAAGCATCATTCTTGTAGTCAATGTTTACTAAAAAAAATGGTTTTTACAGGGTCTTCGAGGATATCGTATGGTAGAACTCGCTCAGCGAAGTGTGGATAAGTCAAGCAGACAATCTCAACCTGAGACTAAATGCTCAATAAGGAAACCGAAGCTAGAAAAGGAAAATCGACCAATTATTGGTAACAATAATAATACCTGTTTGCCAATTACAAAAAGTAAGTCAAATACTCAGACTGGGACAGATTCAAGTCAAAATATTTTAAGATTATCGCATGATAGTTTATCAATAATGGTGGATGATCCGGAACTTGTAGAAATAATTTCTTCACTCAAAGATAATGAGTCTGGTATACATTGTGAGGTTGATAATGAAAACTTTAATAAAAAAACTGTTCATCAATCGTTCAAACATTCATTGAAAACTTTACAAGAGATAGAATTTATGGAACAGAATGAAAATAAACCTGTATCGAGCCTGGTAATAGAAGAGAATGAAACAATGGAAACTAAAACTACGCAAACACAGGTGCAACTTTCTCTTCTACCTGATACAAATACAACAGAAAACGATTATGTCTCTGATAACAGTATGTCTATTTTAATTGGTACCTCAGAGCTCCATAATCTGATTGACAACTTAGATGAAGACCCTTCACATATCATTCTCGATCCGAAATCCATTCCGGTATCCATACCAGCTAATGAAAATGAACTTACAAGCAACAATAATGCGACAGCTGAAGTATATACAATGAAAAAGTAAAGAAAAGTAGAAAGAAAATAGCAGATCCATCTGAATGGAATGACATAAAAAATAAGAGAAAAAGGGAATGTGGAGAAGCTTACCAAGGATGGACAAAACAGAAAGGTATGAAAGCACAAAGAGGTGTAAATAGATCTGAGAGAAAACTAGGACCAGCATGTACTTCGAATCATTGCAATAAAATAAAAGACTGTCTGAAAGTTTCAGAATCGCAAAGAGAATTTATATTTAATTTCTTTTGGAAAAAAATGAGTTGGGATCAGAAAAAAGTTTATGTAGCTACTCTTATTTCAAAACAAGCACCAAAGCGACGTACTACAGGCGATCCTAATTCTTCTAGGCGAAAGATGTCTTTAGCTTACACTTTGAGAAGTGAAGATGATACAATATTCAAAGTGTGCAAAAAGATGTTTCTCCACATTGGGTTTAAATGAGTTCATGTTAATAAATTGGATGAAACACTCTAAAGGCGGAATGACACCATCTACCACGGCAAGAAATAGAGTACGACAAAATGGAGTAACAACTAGGGATTTAGCGACTACTGATAAAAAAAAACATTTAGAAGGTTACGTAAATCAACTCCCAAAATTGCCATCACATTATTGCAGAAAAAACACATTAAAAACGTACCTAGAGCCAACATTCAAGAGCTCTATGAGTGACATTTATAAGGAATATGCAAAGCAATGTGCTGCTTTAAATCCACCTCAGAAGCCTTTGAGTCGCTTTACTTTTGATTTGGTTATTAAGGAAAAAAATATTGCGTTCCAGCCTCCAAAGAAAGATCGATGTGATTTATGTATCAGTTATGAAACAGGTAACGCTAAAGAAGAAGAATATCAAAAACATCAAGCGAAAAAGGAAAAAGCGCGTGCTGAAAAGTTGAAAGATAAAAATGACGCTAAAGAAGGAATTTCTACTGTTCTCACAATGGACTTGCAAGCTGTTAAAGTTACCCCGTCTTTAAACGCATCCGCTTTATATTATAACTATGCATTCACAATTTCACATTTTATAATATAAACACACACCATTGCCGATGCTACTGGTTTGATGAGACCGAAGCTGACTTAACAGCGAATACTTTTGCTACTTGTCTGATTGACTATCTATCAGACACTATAAGTGACAGTCAGGAAACCATAATCATTTGGAGTGATGGGTGTACCTATCAAAATCGAAATGCGGCTGTTTCAAACGCTCTTCTATCTTTCAGTGTTAATAAAGGCATAACAATATACCAAAACTATTTGACCAAAGGCCATACTCAGATGGAAGCTGATTCGGTGCATGCTACTATTGAAAGAAAAATAAAAAACAAATGTATTTATTTACCAAGTGATTACACTCGATTAACTTCTGAAGCAAGGCGTAATCCCGAACCATATGAGATCAAAAGTCTAGACTTTACTTTCTGTAAAAATTATGGAGTCGATATGGTATACTCTTCCATCAGACCAGGAAAATCTACAGGTGATCCTATGGTAACAGATATAACTGTCATAAAATACTCACCTGATGGCATTATAACGGTAAAAACAGACTTTGATGGAAAATTTCAAGATCTTCCTAAAAAACGAGGCAAACGGGCAGCTGTTAAACCCTTAGAAAATTTTACCCAGTTGCATAAACAGAGAATTCCAATTAAAAAACATAAATGGTTACACTTGCAGCAATTAAAAGAAGTGATCCCGAAAGACTGTCATAATTTTTATGACAATTTGCCTTATGAATAGCAATGCAAATAGGGCAAATTGTTATAAACTATGCTGTGTTTATTAATTAATAATAAGTTTGATGCTAAATTTTTCTATGTTATAAAACTTGTGATCTCTTTGTGTTCCTGTAAACTTATTTTATCATAGAGTTAAGTAAAAAATGTTCCTTAAATTACTTAACTGTGATGTACCTATTTTTGTACCTATTTTCTATTAAGCTAAGATTAGAAGGTCGAAAGATGTTAGTCTTAAAAAGTTTTAAATGACATTATCATTAAGTGCCTTGTAGTGTAGGTAGTTGTTGTGTGCCTACACTGCCTATTACTTTATATGTCAAATATACTTAATTGTGATTTAAGTGTCAAGTGCAATTATTAAAAAAATTAATATGTTTTTTTTATTATACACGTGTTTTTTTAGTATTTTATTTAGTTATAAATACCTTTTATCATCTAAGCCAAGTATGAAATACCTCGTAAGTAACATCCAATAATAAAAAATATAGTAGTGAAACCACGTAAGTGCATTTTCTCTAAGAAATCAGTATTGTTGTGATTAAGTTTTATAATAATTATATTTCCTATAATATTTTAAGCCAAAATCATTAAAAAAATAAAGAGCATGTATTACAGTTAGTTCTAAAAGAAGTTTTTTGTCTCTCTTGTAAAGTTTGACAGTTTGCATATACGAGCTGACACATCTAGACCGACGATATGTTATTACAATTAAAGCATTGAAGGTATATTTACTAAGCCCTATACCCAATAATGAGGAATGAACATCTACCACAAATTGAGTTTTATAAAATAGCTAATTTACAATACCATAGCCAGCCAGCCAAGAATTAGACAGGAACCTCCAATGGGTGTGAGTCTCCTAAGTGCACGCTCTCCTGTAAATGCGTGATAGTAACATGTGCCGCAAAAGAGACCCATGCCAGTTATGAAGAAAGAACCAGCCTGAAATAAGTTTAAACAATTACTTTTCTTTATATTAGGTGAATAAAGAAATGTTTACAATCAGCAAATTTTCCATCTTTCAATAAAGTTATATTTATTTAAACTCACAATGTAAGGTCTCCTACACAAGGGGACTGTCATTAAGGCTAAAGTGTGCAGAAAGTGAAATCTGTTGGCAGTTTCAAATATCTTCTTTAGGTCTTCCTTAGTCTCAGTTTCTGAGAAAGTGCGATGAGCCCCCATTGCACCTAGAACAACAGCTGCAGCTCCACTTAAGCCTGCTATCCTTACAAAGGGTCCAGCCTGTTGTGCTAATTCCCAAAGTGGCATTTTAATGATTATGGTGGCTGGTGGTGATTCTATAGATTTACTTTTAAATACTCCCTAAAAATAAAATAATTATATATTATCCAAATAAAACACTGGTATACATAAAAATACACAACACATACGAATATCATAAAAAATCAATATTAAAAATGGCCATTCAAAAACTAACTGATAACAGAATTTGCTATGTCATGCTGTAAATTACAAAAACTTACAATATTTCGTAAAATATTCATAGCTCCCTCCGTCACCGTATTTATCATAAGTGTATCGACCAGATTCACCATACCTTTTAACTTTTACGCAATGAATATTTTCAAACGCTGAGACTCTAAATCAAGGTTGTTTTGATGTGTAAACAATGGAACAATAAGTTTTCCCCTTATAAAGAAAGTCAGAAAATTCTTATTGATTGGGATTAACAATATAAAAAAATAATCAATTTAATCAGTTACGGTTACCTTAAGTTTACTCATACATTACTGATTACTGATTTTGTCAGATTACAGAATTGACAGTGAATTGACAATGGCAAATATTTACTATACTGCGTATCTGTGATGTCTTTTGTATATCTATATAATAAAATTGACTCGATAATTTAGGGTAACACCATTGACCATTGAAATACAAAAAACCCAAGATGCACACTCAATGTCTAAAAAACGTCCTCAAAAAATGAGCGCAACATTCTAAATTGTGCGCTCATTTCAAATAGTCTCGCGTCGCTCGCGTCTGGGAGCAGTTGTTAAAAATGCCAAAGTGTTCTGTGAGAAATTGTAAAAATATAACGTCAAGAAGGCTAAAAAAGGATGGGATATCGTATTTTCGGTTAAATTAAAAAACTTTATTGATTAGTTTTTGTTGTTTTTATGACTGATTATAACAAGCAATGTGTGATTTTTATTTATTTTTTCTAAAAACTTCATTCAACGCACAAACTTCTATACGGCCAACTTCAATGGCTGCTTGTTCAGTGTTAGAACAACGCATTACAGTCTTCTTTTTATTTTAGTCGCATTATAAGAATGACCCTGTTCTAATAAGTGGAGTCGATGTTATTTATTTGTGTTTTTTTTTTATAAATAAATTTATGTACTTTTGAACTTTTTGTGTGTAGTTTTTGACAAATATATTTACGCTATATAAAGTGTAGGTCAGGAGGTAGCCAATTTAATTTTTTTTTTTAATTTAAAGAAAAAACTTTTTAACCGGGTTAAAGTTATGTATTATTATAAATTTATAACTATTTAACATCCAACACCTTTTGTCTTCAGTCACCGTGACCACGCACGCTGTAAAGCACGCGAAAAGTCGGATAAATTTAAAATTATGTTAAATAGTTGTAAATAAAAAAGTCATGTTCGACTCCACTCAACACCTTGTCCTACCGACCACGGTCGGTCGTAAAATTTTATTGCTTTAAGTACACTGCGTTGTAATAACAACTTTAAACAATTCGCGTAAGGTTGATTTTGCAATAATATATGCTTGTAACTTATAGAAAGAGACAGAAATAGTGTTTCAGGACACTTTCGAGCGTTACTTTTATTCGAGACTGTGCATCTTGGGTTTTTTGTATATCAATGGGTAACACTCTAAAATTCGTCTGACTCCCTATGATTATTATATATTACGTACTTCAAAATTATCTTGGTTTTTGTCATATAAGTTCACGCTAATTCTCGTTTCTGTATCTCACCATTAAAATATACTTTAGATAGGAACCGTTTAAAAAGTAAAAGTAGGACACCTAGCCTATTTTTCCGAAACGTTATATGGTATAACGTATGTATATTGGAGAATGACAAAACATATTAACACTAAGGTGCTTTTTCGCTTGGTGATCATAAACTTATTGATCAAATTTTGCGCGTTTTCCGCTAAAAAAACATCCTTTGTCGCTTCTCCTCTTTTCGAAGACACACTTTTTAAAGCCGCAGCCAGCAACGGAATACTTAGCGTTGGCATATCGAACTACGTTCAGTTTCGTGGTCATTTGGAGGAAAAAGCTTGGTGTTCTCATTAAGGCAAGACGGTAGTTAACTTCGGGCCACCGCTTGCAACTGTGTAAAGCGCAAATTCGGCCCCACATGGAGTACTGTGAGTAAAACCTGCAACTAGATTTTCATCATCGGACGTCGAGGCAGAATACGAATTTCCATGTGGAACCAGCTGCCCACTGAAGTATTTCCGAACCAATTCGACTTAGGGTCCTTCAAGAATAGAGAGTACCAATTATTAAAAGGCTGGCAACGCACTCGCGAGCCCTCTGGCATTGAGAGTGTCCATGGGCGGCGGTCCGCGGTATCACTTAATATCATGTGTCTCCTGCCCGTTTGCCGCCTGTTCTTTATTTTAAAAAAATCTGTTGCCTAGGAGTCTAGCCGTATGGAAACCGAATAGTTTTCTACATGTTGGCAGCTTTTGAGATCTCGGAAAAACATGGCGGATAAATGATGTTTTTTCTACACGTTAACTGGACTAGGCTACCAAAATAGCGGTACGTCATTTTCATACAAATTTTTGTTTTCGACTTTCTACATACACTATAATACGTTAAGGCGTCTTGACTAAGCCCCATTATCAAATTATAAAGACAAAAGCGATATATGAACCATAACCGAATGAAAGTTTAGTAGCCTATTGTAAAAATATCACTAGTGCAGAAAATTTCAGACATAATATGAAAACCAGATACTTATAATAAAAATTATTTTAATATGTTTGTTTTACATAACTAGTCCATATTAATGCAACCAACACATATGTATCTACAATTTAACAATGTTAAAAACACATCAGCCTAAACTTAAGAATTTATTTAATTATTTTTTTGATGTTGTTGTGTTAAAGTTTAATTTTTAATGATACAAATATCGACAACGGCGCTAGGACTTAGGAGCCCACAAGATAACGGGGTCCGTAAAATAAAACACGAAAAACATTGTTTTATCTCACGCCTTTTCTATTGCATACGTTTTTCATTCGTTTGCTTTGTAACCATATGGCGTACGTGGCGCGCCATATATCGTTTACTATATACAAACTTCTTACCCTCTTCAATGTAACATGTGGTACAAATATTTTTATTTATCAGCATAATATGTAGGTACTTACTTAATAAGACACAATAAAAAACCTTATTTAGTGTATAAATATATATTATCTAGATATAAAACGTAAAACTACGTTGCCATTTTTTACATCGTTCTTGAGATTACCTACGTGCTTACTTATAATAGCACTTTTTCATTTATTTTTGTATAAAACTATCTCATTAGTATATTTTATCCATTCACATTTCTTATGACTTATCGACGTCTTCTTTCACACAGCATATTCCAGCATACCTGAAAATAAGATAAAATATTTGAAAAAATTTAATAAGTTTATTGAAATTTCTAGTACCTTTAATTTCCCCTAAGTGAAGACTTTAGTCGTTATAATAAATGTTATTGGACCGAACTTAACTCCCAAATAAATAAGTAAGTAAGAACGTAAGTAAGTAATAGAGATCGATTCCTGGAACCAGTATAAACGTCATGATAATTTCTAAGTACGTACCCATTTCCAACAACACAATAAAACTCTTCATATTGCTCCAAGCTGATATCCTTGGCTGAACGGCATCGCGTCAAATACACGCACAATCCTGCCTCCCCACCTACGGCCTTCTCACAACTAGCATCACCTCCGGTAGTTCTTGGCACTGGCTACATATATTAGTTTTTATTAATTTATGAAGGACAAAAAAAACATGGCGATTAAAAAGAGTGGCGGAGAGTTTATTGCCAATTCTTCTCTTCCGTTCTACGCCCTTGATTTCAGAACTGGCACTAAATGTAAAATTAGAAGCATTAATATGTATTTCTTTACTGACAAGTTATAAGTGTACAATGTGTTACCTATATGATTAAATGATTTTTGAATTTGAATTTGAATGATTGAAAGAAATTGTGAAAATATCTACAGCGGTTATAGCATATTACCAGTAAGACCAACTTCTGCTTATGGTTTCGGTAAAAAAAACCAGTTCCTTAATCGAAATGGTCCAGGAGGCAGCGTTGCAAATACAAAAGTCATAGTAAGCCGACTGATATTAATATCGATAGTTGATCTTATTTGAATTATAAGCGAACCGACCGTCAGCTGCCCTAGTAGCGGTGGGTGTGCAAAACTCGTAAAAGAAAATAATAGGACGCCAGCTGAAACTTTTTTTATAAATTGTTAACATCATACTAAGCTGTAAAAAAATAATCAGCTGCATCGTGCAGAGGAGCGTGCGTCAACTGCTGCATTTTTTTTCAGCTAAGAATGAGTATTTATGAAAAAAAAATTTTTTTTCACCACTGACGCCAGCTGACGCTTGACTCACTTGTTAGTCAGCCGAGATCTATTGAAAATTATGGCAATTGAAAAAAAAATAGCTAAAATGCAACGCTACCTACCTACCTACCCATACTAGAATCTCACCAAGAAAAAATAAAGAAAGAGATTTGAAGAGTTGACGATTAATAATAAAATTTTATCAATTATACAAACCTCAGATTCCGCAGGCAATTTGAGGCTAACTTCAGTACCATTAACGGTAAAATTGTATGATTTAGTATAAGCCTCACACAAAGTGGCGACCCATGAAAGTTCCGCTAATGTGGATTGCTGTAACACGGCGGGAGTTGTTGAAGCAAATTGCGAGTCCAATGATGAAGAGATACGAATGTCTGTAAAGCCAAAGTACACATTATTTTATAAAATTACTTATTAAATCTGTGAGCTCGAATTATAATTAAATATTTGTTAAAAACGTTAAAGTAAGCATAGCTATTATATAATGTAAATTAAAATTGTGTCTATAATAATTGATTGCAATAGAGTCTATAATCACAGATTATTATTATTGTACAAGTGCTACTTGGTACCTCAAGCCTATACGATAAGATAGGATACATACCGGAAATATCTCCATCATATTCTTCTTCTTCAGCGTGATAAGATCCAAAACCAGCGTGCGGACCTAATACATGAGTTAACTTTTATTTTACATTGAAGGAAATTTTGAGATGAAAAACAAAAAAAAAGTAGGTCAGAGGTTAGCTCGCAAGAAGCTTAGACGGATTTTTAAGATAAGACTTTTAAATAAGGATTTGAAAAATAAGATTTACGATAAACAGACAACTATAACCAGAGGGGAGAGGTGAATATATATAGAGGGGTGTAAACAGTGCTTATTAAGTTAAACTTACTCATAAACATCGGCGAAGCTGGCAAAGAAGGTGAAGCAAAGTAATGCACGTTTGATAACATGGCGTTGGGCATGTATCCAGACAAGGCTAAAATATGATAGGCTGTTACGCAATGTACAAACGACCTGTGCAGTAGTAGTTAAAGTACTATAATATTTATGAATTAAGGGTAAAATTTGAAAATGTAAATGAAAAAATACCTGCGAAAAGTTAAATTACATAGTATTTCGTATTTCGAGGTCAAACATATGCTGGCTCGCATGCGATCAGCGAGATTGTGATGTGGGATGAGGTAAAAAGATTATCCCCAATAAAGAGTAGAAATTTGTATAAAAATGAAGCGGCATGAATGGCTGCAAACGCACCGAGCAATGAGATATGGGGACATATTAACTGTGAATGGTTAAGGAAAAATGAATAGACAAAATGTCATTCCCCTAACGTTGGAGAAATTCTGAATGACAATACGTGTGAAAAGCCAAATCGCAAGATATTACCTATAACGTTGTTGTGTGATTGTATAGAATGGTAGTTTAAGGCAACAGGTGGTCTGCGTGGCAAGGAAACCGCAAGAGAGTGTAATTTGTAACCTGTGTGATGAGTGGCCTTATTACCTGTAAAATTGGGAAATTTATAGTAACCCTTATGAGGGAGAGACTTTGCTATGACAATTCCTTTTAGTTAAAATGTTTAAAAATATTAATTTTAGTTTTAAATTAGTTTCTAGTCAATTGAAAGCAGTATTAAAAAACACTGAACTCGGCTCGAATAGCAAATATATTTATTGTGTAGAAAACGTAAGGAAGATTTTCGTATAAACTTTAAAAGGAATTTTTAACGCTTGACGCATGCTGGACAGTGGTCATTATACTCAATTTTATCCTCAATCTTTCTCTCCGAGAAATAAAAGCCAATCTGTAATTGGGTGAATATTACGTAGCAATGTAGCTTTATTTATATTTACCTTGGTCAACCACTCCAACTACTGGCGAACAAAAGGTTCCCGCTTCTGATTAGACTTAATAGGCTATCTAACAAATAACTAATCTAACAAAAGCTAGAACGCTCGGGAGGCCGAAGTGTCTATTGGTATCATAACGGGGATCTATCGAAAGCAACGACATTAAATAAATATATAATAAAAGTAAAATAGGTACTTTATTCTCGTCGATTTAGCTGTTATGACCCTGATGGCAAATCTGACTAATGAATCTGACCGAATCGAGGAAAGCCTACTCGAATACGGACTGAAATCAATAATATAGTAGACATAGGAGTACCTACATCGAGAACGACGCTACTGTCTTTGAAAAGATTGCTGATGAATGACTCCACCACCATGTGAATGTCAAGAATATAGGGAGTGTTATTAGACACTATTCTTATCAATACTCGTCTATGATTATATTAGAAAGCAAAGTTTGTTAGGTGGAAGGCGCTAGTCTTAAAAAAATACTTACAGAGCTTCAATGAGAATTTTTGCAAAAAATTTAAAGATATATTTCTCATTGAAGCTTTTGTTGAGTGCGCCGCAGCGTAACGATTTAAAATAACGCAATTTTACTCGTATGACAGACAATGCTTTAAATAATAATGCTTCATTTCCGAAGGTATTTTTACAAACACAATATCAATTCTCCTCCAACTAAACGCAATTATATTATAGATATCATGGTCTGTTAGTACCTAGATGTCAGACTCTATAGTCCTCGATATAAACTGCATAAAAGCTGGGGGTTTAGTCAAGATGCATTAAGAGTTGTGCATTTAGAAAGTCGAAATTTTTATGAATTTTCATATAAATTAAGTAAAGCATATGACAGTTCATGTCGACAAATTTTCATATAAATTAAGTTTAGAATAAATTTATAGATAACTAATGATTTCGTGTTGCAGATTAATGAGTAAAATACGGAAATACAATAGTATGTTGCATACTTACGTATTGTACTTAATGGTGATCCATAAGCAGCATATTCTGGCCCTGAAATGTATTCATTTTCTTTAATTAAATATTATTTGTTTAAAAACTATTAATTAAGACTAAAAGTATTATTTATTATCTTGAATATAACAATGGAAAATGTTCAAAAGGAATTAACTTACGTTGGGAATCAACTGACTCAGTATTAACAGCATTTGTTGCATTTGGCTTAACCACGACGAGAGACGTTAGAGGTGTCACAAATTCGTACTGAAATAGGTCAATTGTATTTATTGTGTGAAGTATAATATTGGTATGTTATAGACCACAAGCCCATGAACAAAAAATACCTGTGAAATGACCCAACGTGAATTACGTTTAGAAGGCTGTTACTATATCTGAAAATAACTCTGAGCACTATGCCGTCATTTCTGAGCGGTACATGTGAGTACGTGAGTGAATGGAATTTCTCAGATACGAAGGAGGAATTTCGACTAATTATTAATGTACGGCTTTGTTATAAGTGTATAGATGATTAAAAATAAATGTCGAAAAACCTAGTGCCGTACTAAAGTGATGGTGCCGGAAGTCGGTGCAAATTTTTAATTCGACGATAGTTGCAGAAGCAATATAGGCCATTTATTACTGTACGGCATTTGTGTAATTCCTTTTGGACACATATACAGATACTTTACCCGTAAACGCCGTACATATTTCCAGCGGAGCGGTCGAAAGCCAAGGGTCGCAACCCTACCCCTACACCCATTATACCCTAAGGTCATTGTAAAATGTACGGCAACATGTTCAAAATATTATTTAACACGGACAATAATGTTTTATAATTATGCCGTCCAAAAATTATAGTTAATATTTGTGTAAATAAATATTTATCGAAATTTCAGGATTTACCGAGCTCTTACTGCTGTAAGATCAGAGAATAATGTACGGCAACTTGTTTTTTTACATAATGTTACTAAATATTACCGTTGTACCTTATAGCCGTTCATTATAAATGGTAACAAATAAAAATATTATGATAAAAAATATATGAAATTTCCGAAATTTAGATGATTTTTCAAATATTCCTAGAGTAATATGAGGAGTAATATTTTCAAAGATTATTGTTATTTTATATGTAACAAATACAAATAAACAAAAAAAACCAGATGCCGTACATTTTACTCCAGATTATTCTTTACAGCTGATAAAAACTTCGACGACGTTTGAGGTGTCCCTTAAGGTCATTAATAACTGTACGTATATGAGTATACTACCATAAGGCTGTAAAGTATATTTACAGCCTTATCATACCAGCAGAGAGAGGTAAAGGAAAAATATTTTTAACAAAAATAAAAATATAAGACAGGGCGTCCCAAAGTTATAGGATATGAAGGGAAAGTACCTTTAATATCGTAGATAGGGTATTTTACTGAAAGAAGACTTCATATTATTTTTAAAAGTTAGTAATTCTGCATTCAAAGATTTTGTAAAAATTACTTGCCTCGTCTAGAAATCGAACCGGCTTAAATGTAAAAAAAAACACCCCTACTTTTAATACAATCGAAAGAATGGCCGAAACCTAATAACTTTTCTAAAGTAACAGACTCGTAGGGGTTTTGTTTAGGCCGAATACGATAGATAATGTTTTTAATTTGATTAAAAAGATATATTCATGCAGTTCCTTTCTTTTAAAATACTATGTTACTTAAGAAAAGTTATTAGTTTTTGGCCATTCTTTCGATTGGCATCATAAAAGTAGGGGTGTTTTTTTTTTTACATTTAAGTCGGTTCGATTCCCAGACGAGGCAAGTAATTTTTAGAAAATCTTTGAATGCAGAATTACTAACTTTTAAAAATAAAATAAAGTCTTTTTTTAGTAAAATACCCTATCTACGATATTTAAAGTACTTTCCCTTCATGTCCCATAACTTTGGGACGCCTTGTATTGGAAGGCGGTGGTATAATCTGCCATTTCATAGACTAGCTGACTATCGAAAGTGTACGGCACTTATCTTTTATTGAAGATTGTCTAAAGTACTAATAACCTGTGTTACTGCCGTACAGATAAAAGTCACCGGAAAATGACTCTTTTCAGAGTGAAGTAATTTACCCCATACACCTATGTGTTCCACGAAAAATGTACGGCATCCTGGAAAATATTATCTATTTGTGAAGTACTCTCAAGATCATTTAATTTTATGTTGTTCTATATCATCATCACCTATATGCTAATCAGACATATGTTGCGACCCTTGGCTTTCGACCGCTCCGCTGGAAATATGTACGGCGTTTACGGGTAAAGTATCTGTATATGTGTCCAAAAGGAATTACACAAATGCCGTACAGTAATAAATGACCTATATTGCTTCTGCAACTATCGTCGAATTAAAAATTTGCACCGACTTCCGGCACCATCACTTTAGTACGGCACTAGGTTTTTCGACATTTATTTTTAATCATCTATACACTTATAACAAAGCCGTGCATTAATAATTAGTCGAAATTCCTCCTTCGTATCTGAGAAATTCCATTCACTCACGTACTCACATGTACCGCTCAGAAATGACGGCATAGTGCTCAGAGTTATTTTCAGATATAGAAACAGCCTTCTAAACGTAATTCACGTTGGGTCATTTCACAGGTATTTTTTGTTCATGGGCTTGTGGTCTATTATTTAAAGCTGGCGGCTTCAACACATTTACACTTTGTGCTTGTGTAAGCGCGAGTCTGTGAATAAGCGCGAGGCGTGATGTCAAACTGAAATACAAACACAAATACATCATGAAAAGACTGTCTGTCTCTCTCGCGCTCGGTCAAGCTTATGAGTATAAAAGAGACAGTTATTGTTTTGCTTTTGCTACTGTTTATGTTGATCTTTACTATACATGTTGATCTTTTTTCAAACATTACCAGGACAATCTCGTGAAATGGTGCACAATGTTTTTAATTATTTTCAGCATCTTAATCTGTCGAAAAATGAAAAATTATTTACACAAACTACTCTTTTACGTTCTTGATCGGGCTTAGAACTTTTGGATCCACCCTAGTATGCACATTATATTTATATGTATTTGACACATTTTTATTTACTTACAAACCACCCAACCTTACTAAAACCAGAGTAGACTAAAATATATAGCTTGGCAAAAAAGTCATATTTTTAAACATACTGTATAGTGAAATTGCATTAGTAAGTGTACTATTTAATCCAATTAAAAGTGAAGGTGTTTGTTGTATGCGTTTATTAAGCTACATTATACGAAATAATAAATATTAACATACTTGTTTTGAGGGGGAACCAATCGGGAAAATAGACATTGTTTCTGCCCTGTAGGTATATATATACATATATATATATTTTTGTTATATATAATTTCAGTTAGATGTAGGAGTACGAAATTAATAAGTAACCGCAAATTGCTTTAACTGTACCTGTAAAGCTATTCGTAGCGCACGCATTTCTGGGCCTTTTTCCGATTTGTCGTCTCCATCAACGGCGTCCTTTTCGTCTAGCAATTGTTTGATGGTGAGATACGCCCACAGCCTCTCCAGCGGCATGTACTCATTTTTAGTTCTACTTACAGGGACTTTCGGTGAAATGATGTTCTTTTTCTGGAATAATTACAATTAAGATTAAACAGTATTATGATAAAATGTTTGTTTGCTGTCAAATTGTGATTAGTAGGACTCATATTAGACGTTTTGTCACCCCAACACATAATGAGACCCGCCAATTATATACATTTAACTACAGGTATGTTAATTTAAAGAAAATATTACGTAGTTTTATTGTATTTACCTTGCCGTGGCCATCGTCGACATCATAGAAGCAATATGTCACTTGTGGCTCGATCTCTTGCGCATTGTCTTCAACTCTTCCGGCAACAACCACCTCAGAACCTTCATACACAGCGCGGAATTTGCTGCGAGTTACCGAACCTTCTTTGACCTATTTAAAAAAGAGTAAAATGTAAGCGAACGCCACATTACACATATAGAAACTTCTATACTTAAAAAAAACAATTCAGAGGGTCTACTATTAAAGCTTCTACTTTCTGTATTGGTATTTTAAGTAAGGCAAAAAAACATAATAATATAAAATAAAAATTCACTGATGAAAAGCTGGGGTTCAAACCCACCCGGCTTGAAAATGTGTCGTTTAACCTTTAGCTTAAGAGTAGCCGGAAATATATCGATTAGCAATAATGCCGCCCGTAACTTCTAAATTTTATTTCGAAAGCACTGACCAGTGTTAATAAATTATTCATTGAAGGGTATAATACCAAGTTCAACAAGCGATTTTAATTACTGCACAATTAATAAACAAATACAGTGTAAGATTTCGAAAACAAGTCATACAAATAACTCATACAAGTGCCATTAATATAGTCAATATTAGAAAGTATGTCATCGAGCCATATCGAATTCATCCATAGAATAATAAATAGTAGCTATGTACCTGAACGTTGCCGAAATACATTGGGGCTTTTACATTTAAATATATTTTGTGTGCCATAATTATTTCCTTAATAAAGAAATTAAAATGATAAACTACGAAACGTTGCTTGAGTTCCATGACTTTAATGAGTTAACTTATAAGTATAAGTACATTTCCTAATTTTAAATAAATAATCAACTTAATTAACAGATTTTTTTGTTCAAACAAATGGCAAACCGCGTTTTAGTTTGTCATTAAACGAAAATTCTATATCAAAGGTACCTTTAAGTAACCTTATACCAGTCGTTATATAAAAGGTGTAATGATAACATACATTTCAATTTTAAAGTGCATTTGTCCGTATACATAAAAAAACATTTGCTGACCTGATCCTTGGGGTAGGTAAAATGCACATTGGAGAGCAGTGGCGATGAAACTTGTTGGTAAAACTCGCGTAATTGCAACGCAGCATCAGCAGCTTCGTAGATATGACGCATAAAGCCTTCATTGCGCAGTGACAGCTTACGCAGGAAAGTACGGTCAGCATCCTCACCTAAATAATTAGTAAATAAAACACAATACATTAAATTTCGCAAAAAAAAATAAGCTAAAATACTACTACATAATATTTGTGTGTTGGAAATAAATATAAGTGTGGTAGCTAAAATTAATTAAGGATTTATAAAGAGTACGGGACTATCTCTAGCTAAAACTTAAACATTAATACTAATTACAGATTTCAGCGACTTCCAACTTTTACGAAAAGAAACTAATCTTAATCTCAATTATAATTTTCTATATTCTCTAGCTCTAAGTGAAAGCGAACTTTATACTAACGCCTACTTTTAATTCAATCTGCTAAGTATTTTCATAGTTATTTAAATAAATTACATACCAAAAGCAAGGGCGAAAATTGTAGCCTTTCTCTCGCCGTAATTCTTTTCAGAGATGTGGCTTAGAATGCGCCCGGTGTTGGTCTCTCCTTCGGTGGGGTCTCCATCGGTCAAAAATATTATAATTGGTTCCAGCTCTGAGAATTTAGAAGACAATATTATTTAATTATATATGTATGTAAATTGTAATCCAATATACAAACAACTAGATTTCGCTCTTCACGTAAGAAGAAACGAAAAGTAGGTTCTTTTATCATGGGACAATCTACCCACGGCTTTTGGAAGATGTCTATTTTTCTATTTGTCATGCTGGTTTCATGTACTTTAAACTTTCTGACATCCAATTTTATTTAAATTTATGCTACTTACTTACTACCTCACTACCTTCTCGCTACCTCAGCTTGAATAAAAATATTATTCACTCATCGGTGTACATCAAAGCCGTGTGGTAATCGATTTTTGAGTATGAATATAGGATGACTTACCGTTTTTGATATCAATGTCTCCCGACAAGGCGCGGCCTTCTTCTGCTGCCGGGGTGGTCAGTGGTGTCGATTGTTCTGTTACAGTTTCGTTTTCCTTTGCAATTGGTTTAACTTTCCAGTCAACTCCCTTGCGAATTAGATCTATAGCTACGCTCAACGCGCTGTGTATGTCGGTACCTAAAATTTAACCATTTATTTTCTAAGTATTTTTCCTGCATGGTATTCCTCTTATTTTTTATGCATGGTAATAAAGTTCATTATATTACCTCCATAAGCCTGCATCCTGGATATAATAACTTTAGCTTTATTAATATTTTCAGGAGTCACAAGTGATGGTGGAATCAGCACTGTATTCTCACGTCTGGTGTAGCTCCAAGTACGACGTTTATCTGATTCAGGCTTATCCGCTTCATTGAGGTTATGAACCTATTTTCAGAAGATAAATTTCGTTTCAATTCAGATAAATTTTCGGAGAATATTAGGAAGCACAATATTATATCGCAGTCTTTTGATATATAATTGAGAGAGAAACGACAAACAACTTTAGTTTCAGAGTTATCAAAAGACTTTGCAATATACACGTAGTCCAAGTAATATTTCAAATGCCAAAGTTTCAAAAGGTGCAAATGTTCAATACCGACAAGTCGGCTAAAAAAATGAGCTAGCTTTATTCTGAAAAAAGACACGATTCATCGGGTATATGGAATTTACCGGAAACGCGCGCGTTCATGCAAATTACGTATTAATTCAGATTTTTCTCGGTCTAAAGTTTGTAAGTTTACGTAAACAAACCATACCGTGACATCAGAGTTGAATTCGATGATACTGAAGTAGTCGCCTGGATTCAGTTTACTGAGGATAGTTTGCATGGCTTCACGCAGCTGTTCAATTTTACGGCCCATCATAGATCCTGATGTATCCAATACAAAAACAACATGTTTCTTTAGTGGTGGAAGTGAGCCCGGAACTAAGAAATGAACGAAGTAACCGTCGTTAACCTGAAAAAGTCTTATAGTTAACACGATAAAGGTGAAAATCCAACAAAGAAATTATCTTTAAAAGTTGTTTACAGATACCGGCAAACTTCTTGAGCATTAAACAAGGGAGTGAGGGAAAGATTACGCATCGTACACATACGAGAAAATAAACTTTAACTGATTTACCAATCACGCGATCGACACGTCACTCTCCCACCGCCGTGCATCACCGCCCCCCCAGTGATACCTAAAAATCGCTTCTGCGCAGGCAAGGACATTTGTTCAAGATGTTTGCCGGTATCTGTACTAGTTCTCCTTTTCAAATTAGCAAAAATCTATATAATTTGACTGTCAGGTTGTACAAAGATGTTTTCTTACTAATATGTCCTTTGTATTTGTCCGGTCCACATCATATTGTACAACGAACTGTCCAATTGTTCCTTCTTGTTTTTCCTCATCAGCCGAGCGTAAGTAATAAGGTCTATGAGATGCAGATTCTTTAGATTTTGTCTGTAATACAAATAATACGATGTTTAATTGTGTATTGATAATTTTCTTGAAAGATGAAAGAGGAAACTCACGGTATAGATATCAATAAGTCTTCTCTGTTCCAGTAGATCTGGTTTGAAAGTAATTGTTGCTTCTCTATCATCATGCCCTCTATCAATAGCGGCAATAGGGTTTTCTAAAAAAAGGATAAACTGTCATAGATGCACTCTAAAGTAAAACAAAAACAAATTTTCCAACATACGATATATAAATATAGTTATAACAGGCAAAGTAAAGCCCTATATTATTTGTTGAAATACAAGCTTGTGGTTTGTAAATAAATTATGTCACAGTAGGCACGTGTTTAGTTACTCCACATTCACAATTTGTTTTATTTATTTAATAGGTATTGTGTATATACTCACGCGCATCTGCGTCTGTTGCATCAACCTCGTTACCGGTTTTAACTTCAGGTACTCTTAATGTGGTTATTTTCTCACTTTCTTTAATATGTACAGTGACCTTTAGTTTTGGTACCAGGGCTCCAGGGTGAAGGTTTATGGCGTGGTTGTAAACTCCATTTCTCCGAACGAGCAGTTCTTCATAAGTTAGATTGAACACTGCGGTGCTATTTGGCTCAACGTTTACGGCGACAGTGAAGTGATTGGAATCGCGAGCCCTTAAATTTAAATTTTGAAAAAATCGGTAAAAGCTTTGTTTTGTTAGGTAATAATCTGCTTGTCTTTTTATTTCTCGTGAGACCCATTAAAAAGTATAAGACCAACATTAATTAACATTTACCTCAAAAGACGTTCGAATAAAAATACAATGGAAAATACCATCTACTGTTTTTAGCATTAAGCCCATCTACATTTATCGTCTATTTTATTTTAACTGCTTTTGTGATATTGGTTGTGAAGTAAATAAAGTTATTATAGTTATATCATTAAATCTTACTTTGCAGACACGTGCGCGGCGCTAATACCCTGGGAAACAGCTTGGTTGTAAATATTTTTTGCCTCTTCCTTCTCTTTGACATAGGCTTTGTAAGATTTTCCATCTAATGTCCTAAAAAAAGAAATTAAATCCCATTACACTTTAATACCATATTAACATATTGTTTGAATCACTAGCGTATTTAATTCGCAGCACCTACGTATAGGATGTACCTATATCATTCGGCAAACAAAAGAATGAATCATTAGAAAAGTATTCGTGAAGCAAACTTTACCATAAAGAACATCTATGATTTGTATCTGTCAATAAATGACATTATCGTAATAACAAATACGTATGACGAACGAATCATTAAGCTTTCGGTAAGCGACGCTTCGTGATGGCATATAATATACTACATACATGATAAATCCGCTAATGAAAGCGGTCTCTGGTAGAAGCATACGGAATACTGCTTCTTGTGATCGCTTGGCTGGGTTTCGTACAGTGGTAACTACAGCTGTGCTCGCATAACGTAATGCAATTTCGGAGTGCACGCGCATCTCAGTTATTTTTATCGGAATGTTCGGTTCTTCTGTAGTAATTTCCACATCAGCACTAGCACTAGGAGTAGGGGTTGAGGTTTCCTGTGTGTGAATAAAATAGTTCGAATAGTTAGTAAATACTACAATATATAAATTACGATTGAAAAGAAACTCCAAAAAAAAGTAAGGAAAAATTAAGCGAAAAGGATAAGATTGAACAAGTTAATGTTGTTAAAGAATTTCTGACTACGCTGTGAAATCACACAAATCGAGAAAATGTGTAATGAATTAGCGTTTATACGAGGGGTGTACAATAAGTACTAATAATACGATTTTTCTCCTTGGAAAGATAAAAAAAATACCGGCTGGCATAGCCTAGATATTACATATAATAATATTAAAAAAGCCATCAACACTCTTTTGTTTATTAAAGATAGAAGTCATTTGTGTGCGTCGTGTCTGAACGTGTTCATAAAAATCGATAAAGATTAAGTTCGCGCTGCAATATATATGATATATATATCTTCATGGAAAAATTAAATACGCTGGTAAATGAAATGAAGACTTCAGAGCAACATTAGGAGTTCATGTTTCTCCACACTTCCGCGGTGAAAGGTCACCAATCACACATCTCAGGGGTCATAAATTTGAAAATGATGTCGCAGCAGTCGCCGCAGTACACGATTTTTTAAGGGATCAGAAAGAAGATGTTATTAAATGAGGAATTTTAGCTTTAGAGAAAAGATATACAAAGTGTTTAAACCTGAGGTTAAGGTCTGCGTCTATAAATAAAATATCACTTAATAAAAGATAATTCTGTTATACTCATTATCACTTTTTATTGAACAACACTCTGTTAAAGAAATTTTATTTAATATTCTTTAATAAAACCACTTTAGTTTGCACAGTCATCCGAATATTATAAAAATTATAATTTAACGTTTAAATAGTAAGTAAACATTTGACGGATCTAAACGTTTGGGTGCTTTACAGATTGACTTTACAAAAAATACGTCTTAAATTTTCAGGTTATTTGAATTCGGACAAAAAAAATTACAAACCTCAATATCTGATCGGGTGACCACAATCGTTTCCTGGGTTGTTACTGCTGCTGACGATGCATAACTTATAACCAGGCTCACGCACAAAATTGTGCGGAACAATCTAATTCTCCCCATGGCGGAGATTTTGAGCTGTGAAAAAGATATACCTATGTCATGTGATGTCATGTGTTCGTAATGAAAAAGTGTATAATTTGTTAAAGATCTAATTACCGCCGGACCTAGTGTGTCCGTAAAAACTTTGAAATACCAGCCTTGCGATTCTGTAACTCACTTTTCGAACTCACAAAGCGGTTTTCGCAGCGGCGGTCGCGAATCGCAAGGCAGACAATAGTTTGTTCCTCAAAAAAATTCTAACGAAATTTCAGATATTTAAAACGATTGTAAAAACGAAAAAGGTTGTACACGATTACCAATGGAATCACTTAGACCTTTTAAAACTATATAAAAATTTTCAAAAACCAATTTTTTTTTTGTTCTCAAAATTATTTTTTTATAATTAATTAGCTATAAATAAAAATAAATTTATTTTGAAAATAATGATCGTTGGATCATTTTTGTCTCGGAACTCAACGCATAGTGTTTAAAGCTCACGCGTACAGGACTTAATTCACGGCGAAGTATTATTTGTCCCGGTTGGTAGACAACGAAGCCCAATAGCCTTGAAAAAATATCAATGTAACAGATGCAGAAATACGTCATCCATATCCTTTATTAGGATTTAATGGTCCTTCAAACAACATCGATAAAGTAACTCAGTTAACCTGCACTAAAAAAATAACAAATATTATTTATTATATGCAAATATTTATAAGACTTGTCAATTAAATTTTTTAATCAAATTTATGAATTTCTTAATACGTGAACTTTGAGATTAAGCTAGTGTGCAATCAATAATTGTTTGTTGAAATATGATATCGTGAGTCGTGACCCGCCTTGACTGGGGAATTCCAAGTCGCGAGATGTTTATCCTCAAGCAGCCATTTTTTTTAAGAAAACCTGTTAATTGAGCATGGGATACTTAGCATCGACTTATGAGTGGGATCGCAGTTCGTATCCTTTTTACGGGACATGTCTTTTACTTGCCGGGAGCAAGGCTATTTATTTAATAAGTAACAATTACATTAGTAGTATTTGTACAATAAAGTGCAGATTTTTATCGTGATAAAGACCAAATTTTTATGTAAACCTAGCCGATATCTCAGTAGAAGCTAAATGCTAATTATATACCCAGATTTTAGCCATAGGATTTAGTAGGAATAAAGCGATAATATATTTGTCAACTAACTGTGAAATAACGGTTTCTGCAGACTTTGGTGTCGAAACTATTACTAAATACTTAATTATTCAGAAATAGCTGTACTTATGAATACTAGAAAGCCATAAAACACCAACTCAAGCCAGTTTCAAGTTCAATGAAACAAAACAAAACATTACAAAACCTGTTGTGTACATCATAGAATTACAAGAATTGGTCATTTGCGTATTCTTCTGTCCCTACCTTAGAATATGGAATTGTCGTATTTAATTAGCCGTATCCCAAAAACTACTTTGAATGAATACGAAATACACTTTTTAGCCAAGTAATTTGAAGAATAGTAATTTAAAGAACGTGTGGAAATTTGCTTACCGATTTGTTTTGACGCTCAACTGGATGATTGCTTCAATTGTAAAATGTTCCTTAGGTACACGACTAGTCTATAGCTACGCTTTAGTTTTATAACGGACGTGTGTACTCTGCTCGGCGGCAGTCGCGAAACTCGTTACTATAACAATCACGTCTTCTTATATATGCACTATATTTACAGTATTAACTAGCTGAGATACACAACTTCGTTTTGGTAAAGCTACCTTGGGAAAAATAATTATTTAAATTTATTGAAAAAGCTCTTTTGCGAAGCGATTTGGACGCTTATGGTCAATAAGCGTCCAAATCGCTTTCGTACATTGATATATTGAACCGGTCTTACTTTATTTACATTGTTTTATTAATTTATCGAAATTGTTTTATGATCATTATTTTAATTAATACATTTGCATTTTTATTGCTATCAATACTTCATAGTATACCTATATAATAAAGCTAAAAAGAAGAAGCTAAAAAATCCTTTGTACCACTAGATGTAAAAGATGGCGAAGACCAGAGTCGTTTAAATTTTTCGGTGTGTTTTGTCCGTACTATAGGTACAGCCCTTTCATGAATTCTAAGAAATCTCTCTAAGGCTGATTATGGGGGAAAACCAAAGATTAAGTTCACCAATAGGAGTATAAATAGTCCGAATGTGTAAATAAATTGTACACATACAATATTCAACAATTTATCTTAATAATTCTGTGATATATTCAGTTGCTACCGTGGACTTTACGATTGACGGAGCTATAACTATATCCTCTAGTAGCCCACGACTTCGTTACACGATCACATTGAGTATTTTTATATTTTTTGCACGTTAGGTCTAAGTTTGCGATAACTCCCGAGAAACTGATTTAAATTGCGTGGTCTAATAGTAATTGTGTACCAAGGTGACTATTAATTTTCAAGTATGACCTGAAAAGTTATATATATTTATTTATTTTCTCACAAAAACTTAAACTTAGAACATAGGCAAGTGACAGTTATATTCTCACTTCTGTTAATGGAAAAAGCAAGTCTGTGTGAGACTGATGCCAGATAAAGGTAAGAGTACCTGTGTTACAGGTCATCAGGCCTCCACTACTTCGGATTGACAGAAGATACAATACAATACAATACATTACAATATATAGTATATAGAGGAAACCAGATGGGGTATGTGTGTATGTTATGTGTATGTGTGTGGGTGTGTGTCTGTGTATGTTTTATATTTTATTACTTAAGTGTTAGTCTATTAAAGCTAAAACTATTATACTGAAAAACAACTCAAAAATCAACATTGAATATTTCAGCATTTTTTCTGATCCTCATAATGGAGGTCCAGTAGCCACAGTGCAACCGTCTTTTTGCCCTCGTGTTTTTTTGGGGGGTTTGGGGGAAGGGGGGGGGTGGTCTTTTTTAAAAAAATACCCCCCAAAAAAGGGGGGGTTTTTGGGGAAAATTTTTGGGAAGGGGTTTTGGATGACTATGCCTTTTCTACGCTTATTATTATTAAAGTGTTGGTCATAATTGATAAGGAGTGCTTGCGTAAAATTGTGGCAAGAATGAACATTTGACGCACAGAGAGTACCCCAATGTCTGTATACCTCTGTGGTGGGACAAATGAAGGGGGGGGAGTTCAACTTATATATATATAAGTTGAAATCCTTAATGGATACATGATTTTCTTTGTTTTTATTATTAAAATGTAACTTTTTGAAAGTAAAAAATCGCTACTTATCGATAAAATCTCAAGTTAAGACTTATTTTTTTACGAGGTTTTAAACATTGGTAATTTTTATATTGTTAAAAAAACATTTGTGTTTAATTTACGATTATTAACATCATCATTATCCAATTTTTAATACGAAAACACAAGGAAAACGATAGATAGTCTTATCGTTTACTTATTCTGCGAACGTGAAGAATAACAAACTTTGGTTTTCCCGTTTTATTATTATTTTAGACGTTTTAATATCTAGTCATTTGAGATATTTGAAGCACGTTCAATTTCAAATTCAATAAAAAATTATCAATCAACCAGAGAGCAGCTTTTTATCACCCATGTTCAATTAATTGATATACTAGTTAGTGTACTTTAGTCATCATAGATATCAGAGACATTAACCAGCTAAATCAGCAGTGATTTGGTTTTTATTTCAACACGGTATAAACCCAATTTTATGAGACATTAAAATTGGGTTTATGGTCCTGTGTAAAAACAAGTTTTTAAGATGAAGTACTTAATACTTTATTACAAGATGTTTTGAAAATTGTCTTCTCTGCCCACAAAACTTCTCAAAAAAGAAATGGCCATAAAGAAAAATATTTAAGTTATTATATATTTAGGTATCACCTTTATATATTCGATGTTTGCCACATTAATAACAAAAATATATTGATTATTTTAAGGTCGGTTATGGGTTAAATAAACAAATCATTTAAATTTGTACTTAGTGTAATTTTATTAACAAAATGTAATAAGTGAAATAAATAACATCATATATTTTAAAGAAATATGAAATTTGTACAATTTTAATATTTCTTAAAGTTAATTTATCGTAAATTAATCCGAGATAATGCACCTTAACAACGAACAAATAATATACAGTTTGAGAATAATATAGTCTGTCGTACGTTTATTTTATACAAAACAACATTAAACTAAAATAAAAGATGCATTTTGTAAATACAATCACAGAACGATGTCAGGCCTGCACTTTAGGCGTGGTCTAAGGCTATGTTTAGAATTTCGCTATATATATGTATTTGCATTAATATCACTTTTAAGTACATAATAATATGTAGGTGCAAATAACGCTAAATGGTGTTTCGTTTTAATATAAGTTGAGTTTTATAAATTTTAGAATTACTACTTAAATTAGCAAATTTTAAATAGTTTAATTATCTATAATTAGTTCATTAAATTTATTAAATATACAAAGAGGCTCAGGCCATTTCTATGACTCTCGTTAAGACGAACCATTAAGGGCGATTAAGCTCCAATTACGAGGTAAATATTATTGTAACAACAATGTTTATTTAAATGCATTTCTATTATAATATTCCAGTTGCATTTAGACAAATGATAATTGACATTCTGAGTAATCAGCGACCTTAAGAGAGGACTTAACAAGGGTCACATCCAAGAATAGTATGAAAATATAACTTAATATTCATAATTTACAGTTATCTACATAAATAGCTTAAATTTATTTTACAAAGCTAACGAGTCAAAAGCGACATTGGCTTCGAGTGGACATTGATATTGTTCTCTACAATTAATTTATATAAATACACCACATACGCCACAACTCAGTCGTGCAGGAATGGCTGAATGTTGGCACCTTTTGAGTATTCCATTAGCCTAAATATATCGGCGCTCTCGAAATCCTAAAACTAGAGGAGGCACATGCTCAGGTCGAAAACGAGTTCGAAAAATATAGAAATAAATATAAAGTATACATTCGCACCAATCTTACATACGAGTGGACAGGAGAGAGATTACCACCGGAACCTTCGAGACGAGAGCTATTATAGCCCGTATTCGCTCGGCTTTACAGTCTAATATCGTTGGTGGCAGCCGTCAGCAGAGTCGCCGATGGCCGCCATTGCTCACCGGAGGGCGGGTCTTCGCTCACGTAAGCGTGACACTGCACTTCTGCGTCTTGCGTGCTGTATCGTTGGAGGGAGGGAAACTTCACGCCGCTCATGTGCAACGGTCGAGCGGGAATGCTGACCGTCGTCGCCGACCTCTCGATGCGTTTGCCCGCGTTGCCCCCGGTCAAATCTAACGATTGCCCGCGCCCGTACAGTCGCGATTGGCCAAATCTCGGCGTCAACCGGCCTATTAAATTATCCTCCTTGCTCTTGCTCTTCGATCCTTCCTCCGATTTCGTATCCGACTTCGGCTTCTTCTTTAGAAAAAAAGGGGTGAATCGCTCGGCCAAAGGCCTCGACGCATTCGCGACGTCGTGAACGTTTGAAGTGGAATTCGAAGTCTTGAGGGTTTTTATGGACTTCGATTGAGTTTTTATAGGATTAGACTTCCTCTGCAAACTTATTCTGGAGAACATTCCATAGTCTTCTTTGTCTTTCTTATCTTTCGCTTCGTCGCATTTCTCGGTGGAGCCATCTTCGTCTTCGCACACTTTGAGGACGCAATACGTGTCCCTCTGCAATTCGTCAAGGAGGCTGTCGTCGTTCGAGACCGTGTCTATTTTGCTCGTCGGTCGTTCGCGGGTCTCCTGGTCCGGTTCACAGATCATGTCTTCCGGGAGGCTGGTGGTAGAAGTGGCCAGTAATACTGTCTGTTCGTCCGTCTTCGTTTCTTCGACCGGTCTAGTCCGCCGCGCGGTGTTGCCGCGCGGTGGGACTGCAGGAGGAACGTCTTCCGAAGCCTGGGCGTGACTCATGAAATTGGCCATCAGCTCATACTCCTTGCAGCGATTCGAGAGATCGTACTCGCTCCGTTTGGGCGTCATGTCGGGCTTGGGTCGGCGGACGGGCGGTTTCCTCTCCACGTCGACGTATTCGCAGAGAGGGGGGCGGGAGGGGGAGAGACGGGCCGGTTTGGGCGGTCGAGCGGGTTTGTCGGCGGAGGCGTCGCTGTCCTCCGACGGCTCGTGCTTGAGGCAGGCCATCGCCAGGTAGCCGCTGCCGGTGGATTTGTTGGATTTGCCGGAGGAGCGGTCGTCCGCGAGGCGGGGCAGCTTGAGTGACTCCGAGCTGGAGCACATGTCGAGCGAGGGTTGCGGAGGAAGTGCCTTCCCGTCTAGGTCAATGGTGGGGGAGCCGGCCCCTCTCCAGGCCCGCCAGAGAGCCCCGCTCCCACTCTCCGCTGCCCCCGCTCCCGCCAAGTGCAGGTAGTTGTCGTCACCGATGGGGGCTTGTCTACAAAAAATTATTTATTAAAATTTGCTCATAAATTTCAAACATAAGACTACAATTCCATTTTGGAAATTCCAAATTGAGCCAATATAACTACAAAAATTGGCGCATCTAAATTTTATTGTGACATACATTTTCTCGCAAATTATGCAGCAAAGGTATAGTAATTCTTAACGTTAACCTACTGAATAAAGAAAGACTCACTTGCTGCCATATTTAGTTTCTCTGGCCAAGGACCGCCTATACGTACAATGCCGGGTCTCGAGGTCGAACATCACTTTTTGTAGTTCACGGAGTGTCGACGCTTCTGCTTCGCGCTCTTGTGGATTTGTATCATCTATAGATAAAAATGTGATATTTTAAACAAGAAAAGACACACTCATGCAGAAATGTAAGAATTTAATAATTTAAAAAGCTTAAATTTAAAGCTATCATGGATATTTACGGCGACTAGAGCTAATTATTAACTTCTGTGCCTCCATCTCTCTCAGAGCAATTTGAAAATATAACTTATTTTGCTTTAACTGTTTAAACATAAAATATAAAACAAATTTAAATGTTTGCGTAAAAATTATATATAATAAAATTTATCTTGGACACATTTCGGGGTACATCAATGAATTCATGAGTGTTTTTTTTATAGAACAGGGGTCAAACGGGCAGGAGGCCTACCTGATGGTAAGTGATACCGCGGCCCATGGACACTCTCAATGCCAGAGGGCTCACTAGTGCGTTGCCGGCCTTTTAATTGTATGTTGTGTGTTGTATTGTTAAAAGATTTTTCATTAAAGGGCGTTCCTACCACACCCAATATTAACACGTGCACTATATGCTACGGCTTTCAAGCCAACTGCTAATAAAAATGTATCCCCCTACGGTCTTCAAAGTCAAAAAATCACCTACCAGGCGGTCGATGTAATCTCGTATCTAATAACTTCGTATGCGACATGAGCAATGCATGCAGCCGTTGAAGGTCCCTCGCAGGGTCCAACCTCAGAGCCAGTGCTGCAGGGCCTCGTACTACGCCATCCCCCCTCAGGGAGCCCGCAGCCCCCCACTCGGCCACGCCCTCCACCCCACCCCCACAGCCTTCGGCATCTGCTTCATTACGGCCACAGCTGTACATAAACATACAATTATATATATATTTATTTACACTTCGTTGCAGTATTACAGAAATACAGTACAGTTAAAATTAAATAAAAAGGAGGGCAACTAGGGGCCTTATCGCTTTCGAGCGATCTCTTCCATACAACCGCTATATAATTTTGTACGTTATAGCTTTGAAAAACCGCGTTTATTAGATTATTTATTATTAAATAAAAAAAAGGATTACACTTTCGTCTCTTTTTTGTTCGTCTTAACCCTTTGATAAAAACATGACAAGACTACTTTGTTTCAAACGTTTGTTTTGCAATAAAACAATCTTTATCCCTCGATGTTAGTTATTTCGAATATGTATTTGCGTATTGTTCCCACGAGAATGTAAGTGCGTGCTCCTATTTCACCATGCCTCCTGCTGATAGAGGACAAATCTTTGTTTTTTTAATTTATTTTTCATTGTTAATTACTTAAGATATCATGTGGAACATGGTGTAATGGTTGCAGCTCCTTACAAACATTGTGTAAAACAAAAAACTTGGAGATTAAAAAGAGTGGCGGAGAGTTTATCGCCAGTTCTTCTCTTCCGTTCTACGCCCTTGATTTGAGAACTGGCAGTAAATTAGAAGCATTTCATATATATTTCTTTTTTGACGTTCATAAGTGTACATTGTGTTACCTATATGAATAAATGATTTTGAGTTTGACTTTACTAATTAACAAACATATTTAAGTGTTATTTTTTTGCGATCTCAACCAAGTAGTTTCAATGATATTGTAAATTTTTCAGGCAAACGATAGTATATAGCTTACAGAAAATTCATCGAAATAAGCCGAGTGTCAATTAGTAAATACATACCATGACCACTTGGTGTCAACGTAGTAGCCTCTATGCGGGGGCGTGGCAGGCGAACGACGGCACAACGCGGAGAGAAGTCGTAACCACTCAGCGCGCTCCACACAATTACTTGCTTGTACGAACAGGACACGCTCTCTGTGCACTGGGAATTATATTTTTAAATTAGTTTTTGAAGTGAAACTTCTTTATCGACGTATGGGAAAAATTTATGTAAAAAATCGTCACGTTTTTCGGTTACGCGCCATGTTGCTTTTATTTAATACCAACGCAAATTGCTTGATCGATCGCAGGTTGAATCCGATATTTTATTGAAAGTTTTGAAATGGCCATTCTATTCTAAAATATCGGCGGCAAATCTCGCGAGAAAACCTTGAAATTAGTCGGATTACTTCAAGTAAATGCAATTAATGAAATTCTGTAATAATCTTAGTAGTAATAAGGTAAAATGTAATGATTGCATTATTTGAATTCATGTCTATGATAATAAAAGCCTTTTGTTAAACTTTATCTAGTTTAACTTTATTTAACCAATTTCTGTAAAGTTGCATATAGTAGATCATTTTTTCAAAAAAAGGGCAAAAAGGGGGTTCCCCCCCTGGGGGGGGAACCGAGCACGCACAATTTTTTTATTCATTCACCTCACTATAACTATCTAGAAACTCGTATACTTATAATATTGAAATGAAAAATATATTTTTTAAATAAATAAGCTCGCTTTTAAGTATAAACCATGCTTCATGTGCCAACAAAGGCGTCTTTTATACGCACAAAGTTTAATAATTTAAAAACTGCGACGGAAATGTTTGGACGGAAAGAAAAACAATTTACTATTGGAACGAAATCAAAGCCAGAATCTCTAATTTATAAGTGAGACATGAGGCTCATGCCATATTATTAATCAGCTCATCATATACCTATTTGAAAGATATTATTAGCATCCAATGGCGCTCCAGCTGGCGGGCAATCTACCGGCGACACCGACAACACGCCGGAGAGGGGTAGCCGATGCGCAGCTGCTTTTGCCCCACAACGAGACCACCACAACTCACCACTGAAACGCATTAATACTATTTATATATTGATGATTAAAATTTCCTTTTAAGCGACTTAAAAAGTGAAGTATGTTTGTCCACATTTAAAAATCATATCGAGATGAAGCTTTTTAGACAACACAAGTTTCATCAAAATCGGTTCAGCAGATTTCAAATATATCGTACTTATGTAGAATTTTCTCTGAAATATCCAATTCTGCGAACGGACCATACACAAACATGTTAGATATTGTGAGAATATTACGTCAAAATAATTAAAAAGCTTACAAAATTGGGAATTTTAAAAATTCTAATATTACCTGGTAAGTCTAAAATGTCTCCGTTTTGAGTGCGTATGCGCCGGTCTCACCCAGCGCCTGCGCGGGGAGCCTGGGCCCATACGAACGCCCTCCGATCGTTTTATCATCGTCCTGTTAATGATTAAATTAATGTAATGCAAACTTCGTTCAAACACCTACAAAAACTATCAATAAAGTTTTATCATCAAATCCGATGAAATGTATTTATAAATAAACAAATGAAGGGTTTAATTGCATTAATTCAATTTTTTATTTATATATTCCGTATATATTTTTGTCAATTAAAAAAACCATGTGGATTATTTAAATTAATTTAAGAACGTTTTGGATCTGCGTGATTAATGCAGAAATAATTAAAGTAATAAATATATAGCATATTACTGTCGCCTATCTATACAAAAATACGTAACAAACTTCATAAAAATCAGTTCAAGCATTTACGAGAAATCTAGTATAATACACAAATGTCTTACCATGATCTCTCCCAGTCGATACGAAAGCAAAAATTTAAAACACTAAATTAAATATATAAATATTTTGGACAAATTAAAAAAGACTATGTTACCATATATAAAAACTCACCCTTCTTTAAGTAGGACCGATGTTTCTTGTACATTATTATTTTGGGTGTCCGAACTGGTTGAGATTATTTCCAGAAATTGTTTGATCGCTTGCACCTGTAGAAAAAAAAACAACCTTCAGAAATGGGCCGGTAACTTTTTGATAATATTTTTAAAGTATTAAGAAATATTTTTAATCTAAAAGTAAAAATAACAACTGATTGCGTACGTCAGTATGACGAATAACTTGGACAAAGTATGAAACCTTCCAAGTTCCAATATTTGTATGAAAATCTTAATTTTACGTGACTAAAAGCTCAAGTTATTATAAAGCTCTTGCTTAGACGAATTACGCAATAAATATCTTGTAAAACACAACATAGAAGGAGAGATTCTATTCTCATCAAAGTCACCATAAAATATACAGAATTTATTTTTCTAAATCCAACTTATAAAGCGATCGGATAAAACATGTTAGGTGTAAAATAATTCATTATTAAAAAAAAACTAATTTCTAAAAAGGTTTTAAAATTTAAATAAAACATTCATACTTTAAAAAACCCGCCAAAATGCTTCTCTAGGCAAGATGGCCCTATGACGTACGATGTAAACATCTAAACAAACGTGAAGTTTATACGTGTTAAATATCATTCTTAAATTACACAAATACACACAACTTATACTTCGATCGAAAACAGTCTCCGTCAAAATTAAACTCCAATATAGTATTAGGCAGGCGAAGACATATTATTTATTGGCATGATACGTCATCGTTGATTCGACTAATGTGACCACTTTGTGTCACGTGACTGACATAGAAATCAATTATTATTTACAAGCTATTTTACTCCATAACGGTTTTTAATGCCACACTCTAAATAACAATTTTTTTTCATCCTTTCGTATACCCTATTTAGGGAGCGTTCAAGTACATGATTATTGATCCCCCCCCCCCATGTAACGCGCCGTAAAAAAATTTTTTTTTAAAAAATTTTTTTGGGGGCCCCCGGGGGGGGGGGGTTTTGGGGGGGGGGGTTTTTTTGGGGGGGGGGGGGGGGGGGGGGGGGGGGGGGGGGGGGGGGGGGGGGGGGGGGGGGGGGGGGCCTCAAACCCTTCGTTTATTTTCGGTATGAAAAAACTCCAAGTAATTAAACACGTATTTTTAACGGGAAAGAACCGAGCCTTTGGGGGTATTAGAAAAGGTTTTTGCGTGTCAACAAGGGGCAAAAAAAAAAAAAGGGGTTAAAAAGGGGGGGAAAAGGGTATAAAAGGGGGGGGCCCCTCCGGGGGGGGAAAAGGGGGGGGGGGGGGGTTTTCTTTGGGGGGGGGTTTTTAGAGGGGGGGGGGGGGGGGAAGGGGGGGGGGGGGTAAAACGTTTCGTGACCACCTAGTGACTCTTTATAGCTAAGTTACCATTATGTGGTGTAATGTTTTACAAAAGGACCCCCCCTCAATTCGTTACGTAATACTTGAACGCTCCCTTACATGTTCTTATTCTAAAGACTATTAATAAATATTTAAGTATCTATGATATGGTCTATTAAATAAAAATAACAAGCACTGTCAAATTTTTTAACACATACATGTCTGGTGGTGCAAAAGCTTCTATAGAGTTCGGCCATGTACTCCTCCTTGCAGACCTGTTGCGCTGACCGGCTGCTCACCAAGTTGCCCAGAGACTGGATCGTCTTCGAGATCAATGTCAACGTCCGCGTTGTTTGAAGGTCCTGCAATTCAATTGAAACTTTTTTAAGGATTTAAAAACTAATTGATTACACAACTGTGTGAGTTTTTTTTAAAATAACATGGTCAGCAAAAGCCTGCAACTGGCCACATTAAATGATGTTATATAAGTCTGTTGTTTATGTTTTTAATGTATTTAAGCTGTCAATGCCAAAGTTGACACATTTTACTATTAGATATTATGATTAAAGAAGTTTTTTTTTTATATATTTTGATTAAAAAAGTTGTGTGGTTTGAAATGTTGCCATATATTAATTATCAATGCCTTGTTGGTTTTCTTTCGGGATGACGAAATAAATAAAAGAATCGTGTATTGGTAAATAAGAATAAGAATAATTTTTATTTTCTCCCATATAACATTTACAACAACAATAAGATAACAGTTGAAAAAGCATTGGGAGACAAATAAATAAAATAAAAATAGAAATATACTTACAATTTGTTCAGTTGTGAGATCGAAAAGCCTCGGACCAAGTATGGCAGGGGCAAAGAAACGTAAAAAGATAAATCCAGAGACTACAGAGTATCGGACTTCTGCGTTGTGAGGGAAATGCCTCGCCGCACACTGCCGTAATGCGTCGAATAGGCGACACATCACTGATGGACAAGTGCCGTACGATGATGTTATTGCGGCAAATACCTGAAGAAATAAGAAGAACATAATTAATTTATATTATATAATATTTACACTTTATTTTTTCACTAACACTAGTTTTAGAAATGCACTTAAAAAATATTATATTCTTCAAACTGAGGAGTAATTACTATTAAAGTAAAAATTAGGGCTGGATTTGTTGATTTTTATGGGACTGGAGGCAAACAAGCAGGCGAGTCACTTTTAAGTGTTTACCGCCGGTGACACATGAAGGAGGCAAGTGCGTTGCCGGCCTTTAAGTACGCTCTTCTCCACTAAGGCGTAAGGGTTCGGAAATACCTGGAATAACAGCTGGTTCCATAGTGTGCGCGCAAGAAGTGACATAAAAAGCGATCTAACACTGTAAAGCTCTGCTAGGCTCATCAGTGCATTTTATGATTTTTCGGTCTATTCGTAAAAGATAAAAGATTCTCACCCTCTCAACATAGTCCTTCAAATTAGCCAGGTTAGCAGCGATATCCGCAGATGGCTTAACTCTGGCTGGGTCAATCTCGCAGGGCCTCTTCTCATGAAGAACTGCCGCGAGTGTAGGCCGTAGTACCGAACGAAGATAGGCGGCTCCCGTTAGCCTCATCGCCTCATCCATCATTTTGGATACCAGCGTATTGCCACGGAATATTGTTGTCGCGTCACTATAAAAATATATTTAGTTAAATACTATTAAACTTAAAAAAGTACAATTTTATTTTAAAAAACGTATGTCGCGTTTCAGACTTGAATACTAATTTCACCTTATTTCGTATAATAATAAAAAAATGATTTATTAATGTAATAAATCAATTATATTGTTATATACCACTACGGTTCCTAATAATGGTCCTTCGAAACTTTGTGTTTGAAAAGTTTTGTTCTTTTTCGGCCATTCATATTTCTGTTAATGCTAGTAAATGCATTGCATATGCGTAGAATGAAACGTAATTTAAAATATAACAATCAGCTAGTCTATTTATATTTTTTATCTGCATTTCACTTCCTGTGTAACAGAAGATTCAACTCAATTTGCACTTGGTTATCAATGCAAACTGATATGTACCAAGTAATAAGCGATTAATATGGCGCAAAAGTAAGATGACACTATCGCTCGCAAACCGAAACTTAATTATTCAACACGTTTAGGATGTAACCGTATAAAGTTAAAAAAAAATTTAGCAAGGGTAAGTCAATGAAATTTTAATATTGTGAGACTCAGTCAGTGAGTGTGACAGAAAGAAGCAAAAATGGAACAGAATCGCAAAGGAGTGGTCCACGAAGTGCTAAACGAGAGGAACAGGCAGATAGGAAGATTGGAGGACGATATAAAGAAGGTAGCGGGTCCAATGTGGATTCGAACCGCTAGAGAACGCCAAGATTGAAAAAAATTTGAGACTTTTGTCAAAGGACAAGCTGCAAATAAATAAATAACCGTTTGCTGATAGATATTAAGCATGGATAGGGACTAAATATTATATTACTTTAGTAAATGTGCTCTATATTTATCTTGTAAGCTAAAAATATATTTTATTGTGAGTCTCGACATCCTATTATTAATATTTGTGTAACTTGACAATGAAACCTTGCCCGAAAATATGTTTATTACTCTCTTATAATTCAAATGACATTTTTGTAAGACACATATTTCGAAATATTCCCACAGAAAACAAAGCTTTATGTTGTAAGCTGTCATTAGTATAATCATTTGATTGCGAATTAAATCTTTATATCAAGAAAGTCATCTGATATAATTACATATTACATTTATAAGAAAAATCCCACATTACTAATTACATTTTACAACGCCATTTTAAAACCTTCAAAAACATAATCTAACGCAACGTATTCACGTATCATTAAAATAGAATACATTTTTAACTGACAGGTTGAACTATTTTTTATAAAAATATTCATTCGTATTATTAAAAATTACTTAGATTTTCCTAACTTTAACATGTTTTTTGTAATTCTTGAAATAAAATAAAATAAAATTACATTATTTTTTTACAAATTGAAAGGTACTCACGTGAGGACAGAAATCTCAGCATCAGCGAGTTCTTTAACGATGGGAACGATGAGATCATGATGTGTGAAGAGTCTTACAAGGGGCTGGGCGGCTTCCGTCTTACTCGATACTATTTCGCCTAAGATGTACACCGCTGAGGTTGTTATTGGCTGCAAAACAAAAATTCGTTAAGTTAAGAGATAACAATTCTATTTTAATTTATTAACACAATTGAATGCCAGAGTGGGATTCGATACTCGACGACCATTTGGGTTGTTAAAAATCAGGGCCGGATTTAGGGGAGGGGGGCCAACGGGGCCTCCACAATAGACTTCGGAAATTTTTTTTTTTAAATTCCGACTAGTAAACAACTTTTCTTTTGATATATTTATGAAGTTAGTATCAATTATTTATTGTGAAACAGTAGATTCTTTTAGTATGTTTGTTAAATACTAAAAGAATCTACTTGGTTTCACAATAAATTATTGATTGAAAAACTCGACTGAAAAAAATTGTCCATTTTATTTAGTAAATAATTTGGGGCCTCCTAAATCCGGCCCTCGTGAAAATGATGAAAGAAAGAGACACATAATTATTTCAGCCCTTTAAAGTAACAATGTAAAAATCTATCAACAGAGGTCCGGGCTTTCGTATGAGAATCAATGATTATGAGAAACTTTTTTTTAAATAGTATAATAATCTATTTACTAAATAATTAATGTATAATCAAAACTAAGAGTATCTTGAATAAACAAAGTCTCGTAAAGTTACATCCGTACAAAAAGGTTTCACGTAAGCTAAGCCATATAAAATTCTCTTCCCACGGTTACCGGTAAAATATACTTAAATAAAGCCTGTGGGACTTATTAACCCTCTTTTTTTTTTTTTTTTTTTCAAGGTCAATTAAGTTAAATAGTTGCAGCATCCTGGACATAAAACGTGGAAGGTATCAAGTATGTAATATAAAAGCATAATATATAACAAATAGGAAGGAAAGTAAGCACAAATACCTTCTGATGTACACTTCTGAGAAAAAGCTCCTCTAATTGCCGATAGTGTTGTAAGGGAAAGACGTGGTCGACGGTGTATCTGAGCAGAAGCCTCAAAGACCCAAGGGTAGAACTGCCTGCAGCTGACAAACGCGTACCAGGCGGAGTTGCACCTCGTGACAAGGCACCGCCTGCCCTTGATGTTAGGAAGAACCTTAGGAAAAAACCAAGGAAATCTTATCAATAAGTAAATATTATAAATACCGTCAGTAGTGAAAATTAACTTATTTTATGTTATTGTAGATTGGGTTAGCTTAGATAGAAAGCAAATTTACGTTTCCAGACTGAACACTAATATTATTTTACCGTTCAATTTGCGGCAATCTTCATCGCAACAAGCTTAATATAATATAAACTTTTTTAGGTGAAAATATCTTACCATGCACACAAAGGATCCGGCGCAGGTTGCCTTAACTGTAAGCGAACTTCTCCCAAAAACACGGGAGTAGCCGCGTCGTGCCAGACTGACACTCTAGCCTCGCACGCCACACCAGCCTAATAATAAAATATAATTTTAATTAATATATTTATTATACAATTTAACATTGGATTCGAAATTATCATGAAGAATAAGATTATTTACCGTCTGTGATCCATCCTTATCCTTAGGGTCAGCCTCCATGACGAGATCAAAACAAAAAATTTCATCAAATTGTGGATTGACTGTCTTTTTTCTCGGTTTCGTGCGCTTTTCTACCCTCCTTCCATTCGAATACAACAACGTTACTAGCGCAAATGGATCACACTGCCCATTCTTGGTGGTCAGTTCTGAACATTCTAAAACCCTTAAGCGTATCGTGTCAGGTCCAACGTGTGCCGCACAATGTCTTTCTGGATCCGACCAATAGTCGGCCGCGGTGGGTGACGGCGATTCTGTCATAGTGTGCATCGGTGGTTTAGGGCGTACAGACCATTGCGCGCGATCCTTTAAACTTTCTGAACGGGAGAGGGACAGTGCAGGTTCCGTTGCAACAGCCGCTAACAGCTTTTTACTAGTCGAACTCGAACACGAGCCGAATCGCATGCTCTCTTTACAATATTCTGATAGTCTAGTGAGATTGTTTGCCTTCGCTTTGGAACATTCGCTGAAGTCGGGATCGGGAGGTTTAGGGTCCATGCGTAATCGTTTTCTTGAGTCCTCCATCGACAGTTCAATGTATGCTTTACCCTGTACTTCCGAGTCCGCGTCCACCGGTCGCAGAGCGAACCAGTGGTCTGTGTTGTTATACTTCTCCAAATCTTCTCTTTTGATAGCAACTTTTCCGAGGACTTTGTCCTGCTTGCTAGCCTGTTTGTCACGGTCGAACACGTATATGGATAAGTATCTAAATCTGCGGGGTACTTCAAATTGGAATTCTTCGCCGAAAAATGGGCTGTAACAGAAATTACCTATTGTAGAAATGTACTTTATATTATATATTATATGTGAAGTATGTTGAAATTGGTTAAACATTTCAAGTTACCGTAAAGTTTCACAATTCTCCCTGATGTTGTATACAAAATACAATGTAGTGAAATATTTAATTACTTTGAGTCAAATGCAAAAACGTTTACGTAGGCTGCCCTATTGACAAATGATATCAAACATATCCGTTCAAGTAAGTGCGATAAGGATCATCGCGCGGATGTGCGTGGGCCTTTGTAGTCAACAAAGGTGAAAGTTTCAACGCTCGTATTATAATAGGTACCGTGGAAATTTTTGGGTTATTATGAAGATTAACACTCGAGGATTGTAACAATGTAAGCGTGATAAATTGTTTGTTTTGATCATTCCATACTAGATGACGCGGACTCTTCCTTTTTTCGTGGAAATTAGTTATGATGCAGATAATTTAGTGACGGCTTTACAGAACGCGATAATTACAGTTTAGAATGTTATATATATCCGTTACGTATAAAGAAGACATACTTTATTATACTATAAGGATTATTCAATGCATATTTCAAGTCTGAGTCGATTTGCTAAGACTAGCTGACTAACTGTAGTACTGGTGACTGTAAAACGTTTTACATAATTACAGTTTGTTAGGTGCAATATTGTGTGCACCGCTTTTTACCGCTCATATTACATTCCGCTAGGTATCAAGTGAGTTCGTTGAAGTCGCATCCGGCGCCACAGTAGTATTAATAAACCGGAGGCGGAACCGCCACCATGAGCGGGGGCGGCAACATGTATACTTTATTATATCCCGGCAACAAAAAGCAAAGTTAGTGCAACTGCCATAATTGAGTCACGTAGGTTTCGAAGCCTATCCGTTATATGGTCCACGAAGTAACATCAATAGAATAAATGTTTTACGAAGAGCCAAGTGATTATTGTAATTCGCAATCCAAACAAACGCAAAAGTATGTACGCCAAATGCAACGTGCTGTAAAAACGACAATATTGCAAAATGTTTGTCCCTACTTGGTAAATCCCTTGTGTCAGTTACCACGAAACCGTTCTAAAAACTAACAGTATGCCTATAATTGATCAATTTTCTTTCGCCTGTGTGAACATTCAGATAAATAATACCTAACTTAAACAATCAGCCTCGGTACGCTGTACAGTATCTATTACTAAAATTTTATCACCGTCAAGTGGTTGTGAACAGAACCTTGCATTTGTATAGTGCAATAGTACCCCTCGTCTACATATTATTAACAAAAAGAAAATTACGATTTCAAAAAAACGTAAATATAAAAGAAATCTTCAAAAGCATTACTATATTTGTCTGCGTATATGTTTTCGTTGAAATGTAATTTCAATAAAACACCAACCAGTATCCTAATGAGTACTAACATAAAACAGTCTTATGTAGAGCAATGCACTATCGCGGTTTCAAAGCCGTTCCTGGATCATACGATCATTTTACGCCACACGGTTCCGGCGTCAATTTATCACTTAAAAGCTTCCGGTTTAGCTGTACTTCACGTTCAAAAAGGAATGGTTAAGATGAGCCACTGTTTCAATTATTTCTGAACGTGACATCATTCATACCGGGCTAAATTAATGCGAAAATCCGTCCGTGCGCTTTTACGACAAAACTACTGCGACCTTATAAAAAGTAGATTAACGTTAATACTGTGTTTGTTGCCATGGTTACGATGTTATTTCTATAATTATAACCGAGATAAGAATTACAGGCGATGGGGTTAAATAAAGAAACAGTTTTGGTCTATCTAGAAAAAACAATGACTATTACAATTAAATATGTGACTATTTATATTAATACAATTACAATGAAAATAATATCATGTCCCACCTAAGTATACTATAATACAGTTACAGACAAGTGATAAGGTATCATAAGACAAAGAACCCATTAAGTAAATAGAAGTGACGTGACGTTTCCTTCGATATCCGTCACAGCGTCCTGCTCACCTCGGAGGTCACTAAATTATTATCAATTACATTTCCTTTCTGCCTCAATTAAATAATACATAGATTCCGGGTCTATTACACCGGCAATAAACCGGAAAGTTTCGGAATTTTACATACCTATGTGAATATTATAACCATATAAGAAAATCTGCTTTTATCACAATTTACTTCTTATCTCGTTGACGAATATGACGCTATATTTAGAGGACATAGCAAATGAATGTTTATGATGATAAAAAGCAACGGAATCCCGTAAACCAATAAAAACAGATAAAGTGTTCTGTATTTTGAACTTCGAAAACCGTTCGATAGGGTGCAGCGGAAGGGACGTTCCGCGACGGCGCGCGCCCGCCGGAAGTGCATCCGGGACGTGGCGCGCCACACCACACCCCCGCTGCGACCGACAATCAATCCTCCCCTTTCTCAAAAGATTCATGATTTACTCTCACACTTTTCAATTTTAATTTAAGTACAATAGCAGTCATTATTATTACCATTCTTAACCCGTAATTAAATATAAAAGCGGCATATCTCAAAACAATTCTGATTAAAATACTAATAGAAATAAGCTATGTTGTTCCCTATTAATACGACTTATATTAATAGACAATTATATACGTTTTCTATTAGGCAAACCCACTGTTTACATTTATGGTTGAATAAAAAGCACCCACGTCTATGAGTATGCACGACAAACCTCTACACATTCGATAAAACTGGTGCAATTTAATTACTTTCGAATTGAACGAAGCCTTGACCCAATAGTAATAGCACCCCAATTTTAATGCGGAAACGTTTCCCACATGGCCGCAGTATCAACAGGAAGGCTGTCCAGAAAGGCGGAAACACGACAATGGGACCGTTATAATCGACAATACGTAAAGTGAACCTTATGATATTGTGTTTCGATAATGATTTCTGGACAAAGCATTTTATAAAATAGCAATTTTCATATAACACTAGAAGACCTGTAGGCATTCATTTCACTACGTGTTATTCATATAAATACTAACTACTTACTTGAGTGTTCTTTCAATAGTGGATGTGCGAAATATTTCTTCTTGGTCCAAGGACAGCACGCAGTATATATCACGGGCACACGCGGCTCCATTGTTACGACCTGGTAAATTCTTAGCTTCACCTGGAGAAAACAAAACAAAACATTTTATCAGAAACGCAAACAACCTGATGTTCTAAGTACAAATAATACAAAACACATTAATAAAATTAAAAGGTAACAACGTCGATGTGAATATCAACCCACTCTCACAAGTTGAGAATATACAGATTTAATTGTTCAAGTAATGGATCCTTGTTAACAAACTAAATTGGATATAGGGGTAATTGAATCATCGTACGTGAAACTTGTTGTATACGAAGCGTGACCTAGCGTCACTTAACGAGGTGTCTCCAATTACACGCGCCATTGGACTCGCCTAGTAGTTGTCAGCGTGTCGTCATCACTCATTTGCGTAATGCACGTACAATTGTTTTAATAACTCTTGACAAAATAATTGCACTACCAAATTGCATGGCACGTGAACCTTTAAATCTTTTGCACAATTCGACCTTGCCAAAACTTTACATTATTTAATGGTGCTTTTTAATTGTTTTCTAATAGTAATAAAAATAATGAACGTGATACAATTATAACCTTGGAGCAGAGCCTCATTGAAGTCAAAGGAATTAATGAACGGCATTTAAAGAAGGGTCCACTGATTGTGTAAGGATTGCAATTTGCGACCTCGTCAGAAATGGCTGTATACGGCCGGACAAGGCGAGTCAACCATTACGTATTTGGCACAAAGATTTAAGAATCTCGTTGTGCTAGTTATACGAGTCTATATTGACCTTTTTGGGTAATATAAGATTTAAAAATCTTCATTACTTTGCCTATTATCTCTCTGCAAGTAAACCTGTAATCGAAACTTCGTACTGTTTTGTAAATGTTTACTTACACAGATATGATTTCTACATAATATTGGTACCCGTAAGAACAATGGACAGAGAGAAACTTCGTAACAATAATTTAAAACAGTATAATAATTGCTATACTTTTAATGCAAAAACAACAACCATCATCAGAGCGACAGTAACACCATCAAAGTAGATCGTGGGAGTGAAACGGGACTCTGTATACCATAAGCTAGTCTGAGGAAACGAGCAATCTGCACCGAGCACAATAGCGAATACCATTATAATATTTCCACACTTATATGCGTGTTGCGTTTGTTTCGAAATCGAGAGTAGCTTACTAACGATAAGTACTTAACTACGTAGGTTAGTTCTGTTTGAGCGAGTACAAAATTAATTCATAATATTTGTCGTCTAAATAGCGTAGGCAATATTAAATAGCAATCCTACTGAATACATCCTACGTAAGAGAACAAGCTCTTTGCGATATCTAGGTTTCTGGGGTCTACCTACGATAAAATCTGCAGGTGGGCTTGTAATACTATATTTTTGCAAAACATTATTAAGGATATTTCAACATCGACTAAACCTAAAAGGACAGAGAGAAACGTCAACAATTTTATAGGCGCGTATTGAAAGTCTGATACTATTGGTTGGTAGTATTACATACAGTTACTATTATCTCGTTGTGTTTCTTCGAGAAGCCAAACTAAAAAATCTACATAAAAATTTTATAAATAAAATTAACAAGAGATCAAGAAATCAAATATTAAACAGTAATTAAATTAGTTTGAATAATAAAGTTTTAGCAGTTTTTACATTAACAAAACGGATCTTTATTTTTCTAAAGTCCATGTCCTTAATACTGTGAAATCATATTTGGTTTATTTATAATTTGTAGAGACGCTAGTAGCTTATCAAAATCTTATCTACAAGTTGAGCAGATAAAACTTTTGAATGGGCATATAGATACACGTGAAACCGTCAAGGCAACAAACAGCACACATCGATAGCGACTATAAATGAGCGTTTTTCATTAACAGCGCGTCGAGTTTCCATGAATGGTTGCGCTCAATGGAAAACGCTAGGTCGCCCCATTCACGGAGTGTAGTAGATAACTCCTCCATCAGCAAGCCACTAGCACGCGAACGTTTTTATGTCACTCGTCGCCTCATCAACCAATACGTCACGTCACGCCGCTGAAATTTAGCTAGTAGTCACACTTAATTTAATACTAAGTGCGTCGCATTTCTGAGTCACTTTCATATAACATTAATGGATTTTCTCAGACTTTACATCGTGAAATTTAAAGTAAAGCAGTACTTTTCAAATTCAAAATTAAGCTTTTCTTGCAAATATCATTATTATAGTACATAGATATTATGCAAACAGAGTCATAAATTATAACATTTGTTATAAAAAGGAAATTCAATAAAATAATATTCATTACTTAGACATCACATAAAAATAGGAAAAATATGGGAATGAACACTGAGTCATTCCATTTAAACATCATTTAATTTTAATGCTTAGGATATATTCTCCCATATAAAATCATAAAAAACAAAATTTAAAAGAGTATTATTTATATTTTGTTACTCAAATTACCACTGTCTATATTTGTTATAACTTATCTCTACAAGCATATAAAATCAACTATGTATATAGAACTCACTGAGTTAAGGATGCAATTATTATCCTAAGATATCATTGTGTAAGGTTCATAGTAGGTATGTAATATTGTAGAAGTGAAAAGGATCGTAGGTCACGCTCCGGAAGGCATATTGCGCCTTATCAATTCAGACACATATAAGTCTTATCTTGGATTTATATGCTTGCGCCGGCACACACATAAATCAATCATGTTCAACTATTTACACTCAACATTTTTAAGCTAATGAGCATGTTAATATATTTACTAGGGCAGAATAATGTGTTTAAAGCCAATTACACAAAGCAAATCATTTTGTTTTATCAATATGTAGGACTCTAACAACTTAAAAAATTATATTTAAACTGCAACCAATATGTTAGTGCTAGCAAATTAAAAACCTCCAAACTCTATTTGAGACTCAGCATTGGGGTTTTACAACCAATATGTTGATTGAATTTATTGCCCAAACCTAGACTGGTCACTTAGTGCAAGCTAGCTTGGAGTGTCCTGAAGAGGTATCTAGGAATACCAAGTGGCTGTAGATAGAGACTTGTTAGACTTCCAAGTGATTAATTGGCAGCCTGTCATGTCATGTTAGATTGACAAAAGCATGAAGATTAAGACTCACTGTGAGCCATTAAGTCAGTGTAGATAAGTAAGTATAAATTGTGTGGAATAAATTCAAAAATGTCTCCCAACATGCAAAATATTGTTTTTCTTGTTTTCAGTCATGTGGAAAAGGTCTATCTAGTATAATATAAGTTAATAGCTTAGTAATGCTAAACACACTTTTACTTAGTAATGTAAAACACACATAACACAAGTTCCCAATGTGAGATGACATGAAATAGACCTAATTTAGGACTTGTTATTTAATAGTTAGTGTTAAAATTTATAAAATTGGTTTACGGAAAATACATATTAAAATTTCTTTGTAAGGGCTAGCTAGAGGAGGAAGCTAAAAAATTATGGAAATTTAAAACTGAAGAAAAATATTGTATGTATCTTAATAGTATAAATTGCATTATAGTATTTATATTTTCTTGTATTAATATTTTCTTCACTTTTTGGAACATTAAATAGGCACAATTATGTCTATATTTATATAATTTTGGTTTGAAATTAAAATTTATGAATTAAAACCATGAGGTTTGATGGCATATATGAAAATTAATTTATGAAATAATTTAGTGGAAACTTAATAGATACTGCCCAATAATTATCATACTTATCACAGCTTTTAGTAAAAATAAACAATGCAATTGCATTTTAACCATACTTATGTAGAAGCATGGATAGAGTATAAGATGTACTAATAGGCATCAACTGCTGCTTTTAGCATGAAAAATATCAAGTCTTATTTGGTAATTTAAGTCAAATTGGCAATCCAATTTCCTCATAATAAAGTGTAATCCACTTTTACTAGTATTATAAAGGACATTCTCAATTCTAGAGAAGCAGATAAAGTTAATTTGTAACAATAAAAAACAGAACCATGTTTTGTTATTAAAATGTAACTGATTATTGCTAATTCATAGTAAGAAAGTATACAACCGATATCTAATCTATTATGATCTTAGCACGAGTTCATTGTGTTCTCTGCGTTTCATTCATAAATTACGCGAACTGTCAAACTAACATTACAAAAACAATGGATAATGCAAACCAAAAACAAAAAAAATTATACATATTCATATCACTACTTTACAATATAGATACCTAGAGTTCGTTTTCCCATGGCTTATAGGCAATCATTATTAGTTTCAGGTCATTCCAAGAAGAAACCAGCAGTGTACTCACCAGTTACCACCTGTTCACTATTTAACTGTCAGTAACACATAATCAATACACCGTTCTTGTGATCCTAATACTATTATATGGCGTTAAATAAACCACTATAAATAATAATTATAGTTAAAAGGTACAGTAAACCACTGATACATACCAATTTTTATTTTCAATCGTTCTTCTACTCGCACTTTACGCGTTTCGTCCGCCATGTTAAATCCATAACTGTTTATCTCTTTCATCCGCTGTTATCTCTTTCGGAGCGAGCCCCTCGGCCGGCTTGTCCCGCCACTTCCGGAGTGTCGTAACTAGTAATATTCTACTTGGGATTGAGGAAATTGTCTCAGAAATAATCTTCTGTGTTTATTTGTTGAAGTCGTACATTTAATATGATCATTTTATAACTATAACACACTGCGCATGCACAATTTTCACTTCTATTCATTCATCAATGAATGCACTTTTGAGCCTTTACTAGCGCTCTTGATTTCCTCATCAAAAACAATCAGGCTGTATGTTAATACAATAAAATATTCAGTTACACCGTGAATGTAAAAACATCAAGCACACATAAAACTTCTAAGACAACACTTTATTCTCAAGAAACTAATCGAATATTGCCATAACATTGCCCCATTGATGAACTAAAAACTATGAATGGAAAATGACGTCACGTCACAACATTGCGACTGCGCTATACTGGCGAGTGCCACTGGCGACTGACGAGAATAGATGATAGAAAGGTACAGACTATACACGGAGTTCTATAAACTACGCTGAAATCCGGACTGGTTCGAGCGTTAGATAGTTAATAACCTGTTGAAAATGGCTTATATTGATGCTGGCAGCAGTAGTAAGTATAGAAATAATTTTGAAGATGTACCTACAACAGAGTTGTCCTATCAATAAAATATTTTGCTGATGACAAAATATATTTCAGTGATAACAAAGTCCTTCACCGTGTCTGTCTTTCTGTTCACGATAAATACAAAAACTGCAGCACGGATTTTAATGCGGTTTTGTCCAAGAAGCGTCAATAGTTTAACCGATCAAAATTAAATCATTTTCTTCTCAGTACATAATTTTACAAGTCACATGCCGAAGTAATTCACAATTTAATTATATACTTTAATAATTTCAATCAAGATTTACAGGTGCTATGATCATACAAAACTCACAGTTTTTGAATTAAAGGTACTGCACTTGTGCAATATATTTTTCAGTGAAAAACAAATGTAAAAAAGTATCTTCAGTACCTTATAAAAATATCGCTAAAGCAGAATAACACTTTCCGTTAAAATAAATTCTGATTTAATTAGAAATTTTTATTACACCTAGTGGCTAGTGAGTACTGTCTGTTAAACTCTTTTTCTGTTAAACTAGGGCCTGGACAAAGTCACTTTGCCACAAGTATGTCCCACTAATGTCAAACGAATTTGTATGGATCACTCTATGTGTTATTAAATTTCATTATTTTCTGCAAAGCTCCCTTAAAATAAAATATTTCATTTTAAAAGATTCTTCAAAGACCACCAAACCTTGAGAATTAGGTCAAAATGTCCTTTGTGTTGACCATTTGTTAAGCGTCAGTAGGTCACGCTTGTCGCAAAGTGACTTTGTCTAGTATGAAGTATTCTACAAACTTCAAATAAGTAATCTGAAATGTAAATTTGTCAGGCTGGTAATTGGCAATTGCCAATTCACATATAACAATTGGTACAATTTTTCTAATTTCAATATTCCTCTTTATTCTCTAAAAAAATCGTGATCTTTACTTTACTTCTTGAATAATCATTGTGACAATAACTTTATATTATTCTATAGGAATTCGAGTATTTGCGCTTTTTCAGTGTAAAGTGCGAATAATAAATATTTAAGAAGAAAAGCAATGAATGATTCAAGGAGAAAACTCCCGTGAAAGTGTTTAGAAAGTTTAGGCAGATTCTGCAAGTGTGTTTATTGTTTAGCTATACAATTTAAAAATATTCAATGTAATCCATACAATTACTTTAACTTACGAGTGTCGACTATAAATAGGATGGATAACTACACCCATATAGTTAGCAATATTTACTATATTACTGAAAATATACCAGGTCCCAGTGAATTTAGCTCTGAATACAACACACTTATTGATGCTTTTAATTCACAAATAACCCGTCACTGTCTATGTGTATTATGTTCCAAGGATTGTCCCTGTGTGACCACTTATAGAAACAAAAAACATTTAGATCAGTTTATTGATTTAGAGTCGGTAATTTCTCTATCAGAATGTAATGATTGCTGTTCTTGTTCTATCATTTGTAACAATCGCACTGTTCAAGGAGGCCCTATTAAAAATCTTTACATTAAGGAATGTGAATTTAAAGGATATGGTTTGTTTTGTAAAGAATTTATTTCAAAGGGTTCTTTTATTTGTGAATATGCTGGTGAGATTTTGACTAAATCTGAAGCAGATAGAAGGCACCATTCTAATAGCTTACAAAATAAAATGAATTACATACTAAGTTTAAAAGAAATTGTTAATGATAAAATTATTGAAACATATGTAGATCCTAGTATGTTTGGTAATATTGGAAGATATATAAATCATTGTTGTGAACCAAATTCAATTATGATACCCATTCGTGTCAATTCTATGATACCAAAATTAGCTCTATTCAGTTGTTTGAATATTGAACCTCATACTGAAATAACATTTAATTATGGTGCAAATAATAAAATTTTGCCTCAACTACTGAAATTGGACAAAAAGAAATGTTTATGTAAAAGCTCGAACTGTCTTGGCTACTTGCCTTTTGATCCATAAAATTAATTATTTAAGGAATATTAATATATACATATTTTAAAATGTTGAAATAGGTAGGTAATATTTATATGCTTAAGATGATTTTTTTTTTAACAGCCACATCATTGGCCACCCTTTGTTAATAAGTATTATGCCAATTATTTTTTTTTAACTATGTGTAACAATAGTATTATATAAATAATGTTTATTAATTAAGTAAAAAAAGTAATTTTACTAATTTGCCATGGATCTAATAGACTTGAACTTATCCTTACAGGAAATCAGGAATGCTTTCCGTCTTGTTCTTAATAGTTATATGTATATGCAATAACTTCGATACAACTTTTTGTAAGGAAGATACACATGGCCATGGTAAGAAGCTAATGCTTGGTACTTTGTTCATTGTTATGTTATTTAATTCAGTGTTGTCTTTTCTTTGTTAAAATTTATATAAATAAATAAATTTAAGAAGGATGTGTTTTTGATAGTCACGTTTATTGTTATTTTCTCAATTTCAGAAGTGCTTTTGTGTCGGAAATGTGGCACTGATTTGGTGGACTCATACTATTTATTCAATAAATTAAGTCCAGGTGCCAATAAAGTAGAAAAACAGAGCATGTTTGGAAAAGAGAATGTTACTGTACAAACACTAATAAACCCCTTTGGAATTAATTTTGAAATAATTACTAGTGAAAAAGCAAAGTGTAAAAACATTGGACCTGTAAGTGAAATCATAGTTCCTTATTCAGTTAAATATTTATTGGAAGCCTTAAGTAAATGCCTTATTTTTTTAAATCTATAAAAGCTGCAGAGATTTTTTTAAAGTTATCTTAATATGAGATACATAACTTTACTGATATCTCAAACATATATATATATTTTTTTTTAATTTCATTTGAATCCACATTTTTTTGCAAATGTATACTCGAAACTCGTAAATGAAGTAGAAATTTTAAAAGAATATTTTATTTTTAGAGTCAAGGTGCTGATTCGTGGTTTCCAGGATATACTTGGCAAATTTGTGTTTGTCCACACTGTGGACAGCATATAGGCTGGACATTCACTAGATCAGAGTCAAACTCTAACATTGAAGATGGTATGAATTCATTCCACGGCTTGATATTAAAAAACATCCTTGGCGAAAATTGTAAGTTCAGTACATATTTAATAACAGTTTCAGTAATGCATAAAGGCATCAGTGAATATGCATATGATATTTGAACAATATAATAAAACTCAATCATATATATAAACTACTACTTTCTAGTAATTACAAATTATTTTCAGTTACAGACTCCCTGATAATGCTGCCGAAAATTTATAACATGTGAACAGAAAACCTACTGAGACAATTATAGATTTTTATAGATTATTAAAATTCTTAGATAATATATGGTGTAATAGAAAGACAAAGTTTATTTATTCTTCGTTTTTATTTCACTCTATAAAAAAGTCGGCGTCCGGCTGTCAAAAGTACAACATACGCAAAACTACTCTGCTACAAATCATTGAATAAAAAATATTTATCAGAAGTGATAAGTGCTAAAAGTGAGTGAAAAACAACTAATAACTGGTGGAGCAACAAAATCAGTATCAATACTTTGTGTTTCAAGATTAAATCAACAAGAAAACACCTAAAAGCGTATCAACGCATTGTTATTGTAGTGATTAATTTTTTTCTTCTTTTCCCAAATTGGCAATTCGAAGCTGATGGTCAAAGTCACCGTTTCAAACATTTAATGTTATTTCCACAACATAAAGTGAATCGGTACAGTTTCATGAAAGTAATAATTAACACGTAATTAAGTGACTCATCATCATTTTAACAATTTGACATCTATCATAACAAGACAACAATAAAAAAGGGTTGCCAACTCAAAAATTAAAATTTCCCCATAGAAAATTCATAAATGCAATAGTTGTGAAAATAAAGAGGTAGCAGTATATATATATATATATATATAAAAAAAAAAATACTAGAAAACCACCAAAAACAGAGAAACAAAAATACAATGGATCTTCAAGTAAAATTAATATTAGAAAAAATGGAAGAAATGAAAATTGATTTTAAAAAACAAACTGAAGAGTTGGCAGAAAAATTTAACAGGAACCTGATAAATGTTATTGACGAAAAACTAAAACCAATGAGAGAAGAAAACAAAAACCTAAAACAAGAGGTAAAAACTCTTCAGACACGAGTCAGGGATCTAGAGAGAACTACAAGAAAAAACAACATTATACTTCATAGCGTAGCTGAAACCGAAACAAACACGAATGATCTCATGAAAAACGTACTAGAGATACTAAACGAAATTAGTCGAAAAAATAAAGAAACGCGGGAATGGGACCAGTGGGAACTCAGCAACCTAAGAAGGCTCGGCAAGAAGATGGAAGGTAAAAAAAGACCAATACTTATAACACTCACTCTAGCATGGCGGAAGTATGAACTCCTAAAGAACAACCACTACTTCCCTTCTAACATATATGCTACGGAAGACTATCCAAAGGAAGTTCTAATCAAACGTAAAGAGTTAAAACAAATGAAAATTAAGGCAGAAAAGGACGGGAAACTAGCTTTTATACGATATGACAAACTAATAATACAAGAAAAAGGTACAACAGATGCCAAAAGGAGAAGGTCATCTTCAGATAATGGTAACGGCAGCATAAACACAGAAACATCAGCACCTACAAAAATTAGTAAGTCACACCCACAAATATTTCGTTCAAGAGCAAACTCAGCTTCCAATACTGGCAGAACAAACAATCAATAAAACTTACACACGGCAGACCAGAACCAAGAAAAAGCACGACAACTATAAACAGAACAATAACGACAGATTACTCCCCAATCCGGCTGGTCCCCGTGGGGAATGCGACCACAACCCTCCATCAAACAAGGTACATATAGCAACACTTAACACTCGAACCCTTAGAACAGATGAAAGTCTTAAAGAATTAGAACTAGCGATTGAAAACCTCAATTGGGATATCATTGGTATTAGCGAAATGAGAAGACTGGGTGAAGGCATTGAAGAGTATCCAAAATATGTAATGTATTACAAAGGAGAAAAGGCTGGCCATAGAGGTGTAGGATTTCTTGTAAAGGCATCTCTAAAGAATAATATCCAGGAATTTGTAGGCTTAAACGACAGAATAGCTGTACTCAACATACTCCTCCCAGGCTACCCAGAACAATGGACACTAATACAAATCTACGCACCAACAGAACAAGCCGATGAAACAGAGACGGAGCTCTTCTATAACACTCTAGCGGACCACATAAGAAACAATCAAAATAAAAACACTATAGTCATGGGCGATTTCAACGCCCAAATCGGTACTAGACAAGCCTACGAAGATTTTATAATTGGAAAATATGGCCATGGCAAAAGAAGCGTGAATGGGCAACGACTGGCAGAATTTTTAATGGAGAACAACTTATACCTAATGAACTCTAAGTTTAAGAAGAAAACAAAATGCAAATGGACATGGGTCTCCCCTGATGGAAAAACTAGAAATGAAATTGATTACATCCTATCGAATAATCCCAAAACCTTTGTCGACGTAGACATTATTCAAAATCTTAACTTTAATACTAACCACAGAATGGTTCGTGGAACTCTACTTCCAAAAGACATTAAAAAATCAAGAAAACATATACACAAAACTACAGGAAAAGATTTTAAACACGAAAATATTCAAGAAATAAAAACTAAAATTAACTCCTTAGCAAAAAATGAAACCTACAAAACCCTACACATTACAGAACAATATAACAGCCTAGAATTACAACTGACCAGCAGTGTTAGCAACATACAACAAAATGGAAAAAATAAATCAAAAAAACTCAGTGACAAAACGCTAAAACTACTTGCAGAAAGAAAAGAAATGATACAAGAAGACAAGAAAGGAAATTTAAAAAAAAATTAATAAACTAAGCAAACAAATACGAGAGCATATAAGGAATGACCAAAGATCTAAGAGACTAAGAACGTTGGAAAATTACATAGAAAAATCTGGTGGCACAAGAAAGGCTCTGAAAGTACTACGGGAGAAAAATGACTGGATTCCAAAATTGAAGAAAGCAGAAAAGAGTTTTACTCAAAGGAAGGACATTCTAGAGACAACAACAGACTTTTATAAGACACTTTATTCCGATCAAAGTAAACTAATAAACTATGAGACAAATGCAAACAACAAAAACAAAGTGATAAACCCTTCAGAATATAGCACACAAGACAAAAAACCTGATATTCTACAGTGCGAAGTGGAAAAAGCAATAAAAAGTCAAAAACTGGATAAAGCTCCTGGACCAGACATGATATACAATGAACTACTAAAAGGTACCATAGAAGAGATAAGCCCACTATTAACAGATATCTTCAACAAAATAGTTAACACAGGCATCATCCCACAACAATGGAACATATCGCATATAATATTGATCCATAAAAAAGGCTCTAAAGAGGATGTCAATAACTACAGACCCATCAGCCTTATGTCTAATATCTATAAAATATTTTCAAAGGTACTTCTCAACAGGATATGTAAAAAGATTGATGAAAATCAGCCAGAAGAACAAGCAGGCTTTAGAACCAATTACTCCACTTTAGATCATATTCATACCGTAAAACAAATAATGGAAAAATACAGAGAATACAATCTACCACTATACACCGCCTTCATAGACTACAATAAAGCCTTTGATAGCCTTAATCACAACTATATGTGGAAATGCCTACAACAAATGGGAATAAATAATATGTATTTGAATATATTAAAGGAAATATACAACCACAGCAAAGCAAGAATCAAACTAGAGAAACTAGGAAGCATCTTTCAAATCAGCAAAGGTGTTAGACAGGGTGATCCTATCTCCCCGAAAATATTCCTAGTTGCTTTGGAAGGCATTTTCCGAAATATCAGCTGGGATCAAGTCGGTATAAATATTAATGGAAGATTACTTAGCCACCTTCGCTTTGCGGATGATCTGATTCTTTTTGAAGAAAACCCAAAAAAACTGCAGGTTATGATTGAAATGCTTACAAATGAAAGTATCAAAGCTGGACTAACCATGAATACAGAAAAAACTAAGGTGATGACAAACTCTATCAAGACAGAAATCAAAGTGAATGGAAAGATATTAGAGTATGTAGAAGAATATGTTTACTTAGGGCAAATAATCTCTCACGAAGACCAAATGTCTAAAGAAATACACAAAAGAATTGCTAATGGCTGGAGAAAATACTGGGCAATGAAAGAAATAATGAAGAGCAAGGCTATGAATATAGGTCTAAAGAAAAAAGTATTTAATACCTGTATACTGCCCTGTGTTACATACGGATGTGAGACTTGGTCCCTTACACAGTTACACAGGAAAAAACTGTCAACATTCCAGCATGCAGTTGAAAAAAGTATGCTCGGCATCAAGAGGAAAGATAAAATTCGAAACACCGACATACGGCGTAGGACAAAACTAACCGACATACTGATCAGAATAGACCAACAAAAATGGAGGTGGACAGGACACTTGATGCGTTCTTCTTCTTCTTCAAAGAACAAATGGAGCAACATCGTCACACACTGGTATCCACGTAACGGCAAGAGAAGTAGAGGACGGCAATACAGACGATGGGAGGACGAGCTAAAACTGACAGCAGGCCCAAACTGGAGGAGAGTCGCCTTGGACAGAACACAGTGGAAAGAATTGGAGGAGGCCTTTGCCGAAAGGCACACTGTAATTAGGGATATTTTATAATTTTAATTTATACATACTAACTTTAAAACTTACAGTAATAAAGGCTATTTTTTTATTTTTTTATTTTATTTTATTTTATTTATAAAAAAGTCTTATCAAAACAATAACCTATCAACTCAAGGCATTTCCAACATAGACTGTCATAAGAACTTAATATGTAATTTTAAGACAAAAACAATAAGCATTCATTTACAGTACATATTTAAAAGTGAATGCATATTGCAATGTCTATAACAAATTACATTTTTGCATGGTAAAGATAAAAACTAAATCTATATTAGGTGAGTTACAAGCTGTTATTTTACTTAGATATCCCCTAATAAATTTTTAAGCTGTTAGCTATGAAGGACCTAGAGATTTAGCTATAACAGCTTAAATGTAGTTAATATTTAATACAAAAAATCTTGTACTTATTACTTAGTTTACACATCTTTAGTACAAAACAAAAACATTACAGATGTCAGAATATTACTTTGTCATAACTGAAAATTCAAGCGAAATAGATTTAATTCCACTTCAAGCCATAGCAAATCTCTGATGTAATGGTTGTTGCGTTGTAGCAGGAGTAGGTGTGAAATTTACACCTGCAGGAGCTTCACTTGTGTTACTTCCATAATTTTTACCTTGAATAGCAGCAATTTCTTGCTGTAACTTTGGGTTGAGAATTTGTTTGTTTACAAACTTTCTGCCAACTCCACGATTACTACCTCTCCCTCTCCTTCGTCCTCGAGACTGTGTTGATCTTTTACTTGCATTTGACCTGTTAGACCTGTTTGAACCTACTGATTTTGCACTTCCTGGTCCACCTCTTTTGCGGACACCTCCGTATTGATTATTCAGTTGTGCTAACGTTTGCTTACTTAAATAATTGCTATTGTCAACACTGTTTCTACGCCTTTTAACAAAATCATTAGCTACACTGACTGTAAGTTGAGAAGCAGATCCATTAAATGAATTGTTTCTGGACCGAGTAAATGTCTGTGACCTTATGACATTCGATCTGTGTTGTTCTTGAAGAATTTGATCAGATCTAAGTCCTACATTACTGTATTTATTTCTTGTTGTAAAACCACGGCCCCGTTTTGCAATACCACGCTTAGCAACAGCCAGGGGTTTATAATTGTTATTCATATTTCCCTTTCGATTAATCAAACCCAATCTGCTATGAATTCCACTTTGCAAACGTGACATAGAATTAGAGCGCCTTAATTGCATTTGAAACCCACCTGAAAAGGTTTTTTTATTAACAAATATAAATGAGGAGAATTGTAAACAATCATAAGAATTATAGAAATTACTACTTTATAATTAATTACCTCTATTTGCTCTGTTAAATCTGAGAAGTTTTGGCATTTCATGGTCTTGATTTTCAAGACCGGCTCTTCCTTTAGGAGTTAAACCTCTGATCTGGGAACGAGATCTAGATGTTGACCTTGCTCGTGAATTTGATCTACGACGTTGCTGTGAACGCGACCTATTTCTGGATTGTGATCTTCCTCGAGACTGAGACCGACCCCTTAGCTGCACTGCGCCTCTAGGTCCTCTGGAACGGGAGCGTGAACGCTGTTGACCATTTGGCGTTCCAGATCGAGATTGTGAACGCCCTCGGTTAGCGGCACCTCGTCCACCACGACCCCGGCCTCTACCTCTCCCACCGCCACGACCACGACCTGATCCTCCTCTTATGGTCTTGTTTTGTTTTATTATTTCATCTGCAACATGTTATTAACAGTAAAAATTCACATAAAGCACACTTAAAATTCCTCATTGTCTCTCATTGATTTTTAACTTACCTAAAGACATATTGACAGTGTCTGCCATTATGCAGAAGTAATTTTTCGTGGTACACTCTACACGTTTGTTTATATATTCAATTCAATTATTATCTAAAATCTAAATATGACTAATTCATCTACAGCAAAAGTAACGTGATTCTTGACACCTTCAAAAGCCAAAAACTTAACAAATATGAAATTTTAATAAGATGGAGTTTGTCCACAGATGAGTTTGACCGCAGAAGCACAGGCGCAGAATTTTGAGATTGCCGATTGGTGAGGGGTACCGGGTTCGATTCCCGGTTCGAGGGCAAGTTTTAATTTAATTTAAATTTGTTCTCGGCCCTTGGGAGGGTTGTGCGGTACCGGGCGAGTGCTTAAACCGTACATGGAGCCTGGAGGACACGGTCGAATTTCTAAAGACAAGCACGAATTATAAAAAATCTTATACTTGACGCTGACGATCTGTGCATTAGCACAAATCGTGCCAGAGCCATTTAAAAAAAAATGTCAAAAAAAAAAAGCGCGGGAAACTTCGTTCATGGTAGATATATTTTTAACGGTGCCGAAATTTTTTGTATTATATGTTATCTGAATATCATAATTGTGTATAGTGTAATCATGTAGTCGGTTAGTTTTTGTCATTTCTGTAAAATATTGAATGAACGAATGGAATGATGGCCATGTTGGCCTGAATCTCCCAGTGGAATCAAATGTATCTGTTGTTTCACAACATGAATTTGACAAAATGGATACGGATTGTTCGTTATCATCTCAGACGGGTGAAGGAAGTCGTAAACGAACACGTTATTTGCGCCTATGTCGGCAGTGTACGAAAATTAAGAAAAAGAAAGGTAGTGGTTCTAGCGATGATTACTGTCAGTCCGAAAGCTTATGCAATGTGGAAGATGAGTCAATTTTAATAATAAAGGTTACTTTTAAACCTATATCTCAATACACGTCATCTCTACACTCGCAACATCAACATCTAGCACGGAAAATTCGGAAAATATCTCTCAAGACCCTAACGCGTGAAATTCTAATAACACCAAAGCTACAGTAACCAATAGGTAAGGACTCCCGGTCGATTGGCCGTACTGAATATGTTCCTACTGATGTTTCCCCTTATTTAATACACGTTTAACGTATACAAAGTTCACCTGACGACGGGACTGTTCTCCATCCTATAACTTTTGGCATTCTTTTAAAGCAAAACAAATTTGATAATATTGGCTGGCTCTGGTTGACAAAAGTGAAGAGCAAGAAAAATCTGATGTTTTAGAAATGATATTAGCATTATTAACTACTTTAATAAACTCAAACTTACTGAAACCGTCCCACGTTACCTATAGTATGAAAAAGTAAAATCAATCAATGTTATAAAAAATAATGGATTGCAAGATAATTCAATGGAATTGCAGGAGTGTTGTTCCAAAGAAACATTATTTAATATATTTGATAAATAAACATTCTCCTGTTGTTGTTGCGTTATCTGAGATGTGGTTTTCAACCACCCATCCATCCCACTGGCTTCAGCCAGGACACCTATTTAGGATCTCTGGATATACCTGCTTGCGTGATGATAGATGTGATGGTCATGGTGGCATTGCATTACTTGTCAGGAACTCAATTAGTTTTTCTGAAATAACGTTTTCTTTATTTATCTCTAATGATGCCATTAATATTGTCGGCATCAAAATTATATATATTTCTATAGTTTCCATTTGTCCCGCTCGTTCCTATTTTGTTATTTTAAATAGCGTTAATAATCTATTATCTTCACTTAGTCGTCCATTCCTTCTATTAGGTGACTTTAACTCTCATCACCATATGTTTGGTTGTTGCACTACTGACTGTAAAGGGTGTACGTTTAGTTGAAATATTAGATTTACGTAATTTGTTTCTACTTAATACTGGCTCACCAACTAGACGCACAAAGCACTTATGAAAATCTTAGTGCAGTTGACTTATCAATTTGTACTCCAGATCTTGCTTCTTCTCATTCTTGGTACACCTTATCATCTACTTTTGGCAGTGATATGATTTCCCGATTATCATATCCTCGCCCATACGATCCTCCATTACCTCCTTATCAAAAACGACAACCTCGTGTGAAATATAAATTAAATAATGCTGATTGGCTTGCATTTAAAAACCTTGTCGAATCTAAAATAAAAGATTTGCCTCAATTAGTTAACAGTGGTGTGCTGTGTGGTTGGCTACATGTTTATAGGTAAGAATCTGCCGATCAGATTTTTTCTATCAAACGAAATCTCCAAAATCCATCTTATAGGATTTCTTTTCCTCTTTGGTGGGATAGAGATTGTATGGTTGCTGTAAGTAGAAGAAAGGAAGCTGAGAGAGTCTATGCTGTGAACATGTGCAATGAATGGTATTGGCATGACGAGATATCACCGCTTCCGCCTATGCCTTAAAGCAATCTCGCTTTCGACGCGAGGTCGCCTTGCAAGAACGTTTAAACCAGGACAGGACTTGTCACCGATCGGCACCGCAGAAAATGGAATAAAGTGTTCCATGCCCTGCAGAACCACTTCGGTGACAGAGGCAGCGACGGAATCTGGAGCTTCCGACGAAAAGCACATAGGCCCCCAAGGGTAGTACGCAAAGAAAGACCGCATCCCAAATGATTGGTTCCATTAGATACAATTCCATAAAAGCGATACACAAAGCGATTCTCTCGCCTCACCCCCTGGTTGGTTTTTATTCGCAGTCGATGCACCGTTCGCACTCTCCCCTCGCGTCTCCTCGTGTAATAGATGGGGGTCATGGAGGTTAAAACCCGAGCCGCCTAATCAGCTGCATGTGCAATGATAAAGGTAGCCGCCACCGGCATCGGTTACTCTATTGTCTTGGCGGATCTTTTGTTAGTCTTAACTATTATTTTAAGGAAACAATTTTGTTAAATAATAGGAACATTCTAATCTTAACTTCTCGCTTACCGAGCACTTTCTACAACTCTGTGGCAATTTTGACACTTTGACACTAATCTATGGCGTCTTTAAATCAATTATTTTGAGACAAACAAAAATATTTGTATTTTCGTAGTTCAATTTTTTCAAGTTTTAATTTAAATTATAATTATACGTCAATATAATATTATATTTGTTGGTGAGTTTCTTACAATCGTTACAATGTCTTTTTTTAAAAATGTTACATCGGGTTTTAATATTCGAAGTCGAGATACCATTCTTAAAGAATCATTAATAAATAACTTGTCGGAGTGCGTAAAAGACATCCAATACAATAGCCAATTTGAAGAAAATTTTCACAGTGTCTTGGGATCAACTGATTCAACAAACACATTGTGCATGGCATTAGAAGCTATATTTTTACATGGTTTAAAAGATACCTTCTTACGAAAAGCAAAAAACGTAATTTCTGGAGATCCAGACTATCGGCCGCAGTCAAGCTTCTGGCCACTTATTTTAGTACTGTCCCATCGTCAAAACATTGATCAAATATCTGCGTTACCCCAAATTAACACTGAGATAGGACAATGCAGAGCATGGCTTCGTATAGCACTCAATGAATGTTTACTTTCATCATACATGTCCACTCTATTAAAAAATATATCTGCTGTCAAGCCATTCTACAACAGAAGTGCATTTGTTTGTGATTCTGAAGTTCTTGAAGTGGCTCAAAAGGTAATACAAGGATTAGAAACATGTGTTCAGTTTAATTTGCCAACAAACTCAAGTCTTCTTAATCAATGGCCAGAGCAAGTATTAATGCAAGCTGGTATCTGGGTACCAACTATGAAAGTGGCTCCTATTTCCGCTGGTTTGGATGTTGTTAGCACTTTGTCTGATGATGCAAAACCAAAGTTAGCATCAACTCCAAACAAATCATCCAAAGTTACAGGTTTAGGTAAAATGTGGGCTTTGAATGAAGATGAAGCTCTAGATTTTATACTGTCTAAGGATCCAGGACAGACTTCAAGTAATGACAATGTAACAGAAATTGAAAAAAAAAATCAGATTGTTAACAAAAATTATTTAAATCCTGAAATTGAAAATATTGTTAAAGAAACTGGGGAAGAACCTAGTGATGTGATGCAAGATTCCATTCAAATTTATGGCACATCTGTTGACTCTGAGGGTTTTGTTGCTCCTAGTGATGTTGTTATAACAGGAAATTCTTTAAGTGGCAAAGGTTGGTCCAAAGATTTGAATGATGATAATGAATCTGTTAACTCAAATTCATCTCATGGGAGTAGTATGATAAAAACTCCAGAACTAAAGAGTCTTTCATCTCTTATTGATAACTCAAACTTGTATGTTGAGACAAACTCAAACACTCCTAACTTAAGAGATATTATGAAAGATATTCATAAAGAGTTAAAAATTACTACTGAAGATAATGATGACTGTCAATTGATCATTGAGGATCATGTTCCTGATGATCCATCATTACATAGCTTAGATTTTGAGGTCATTTCAAATTCAACAGGTTCATTCACAGTTAATGAATTACAAAAAATGATGAAGCAATTAGGGTTGCTTTCTAAAGAAAAAGGTCTAGATAGTCAAAACTATCAATGTCATGGTTGTCAGGATCTCTTAGGAAGCACAGTATCAAAGGCCAAAGTTTGTGGTTATACTGGAGAATACTTTTGCTCTAATTGCATGGACCCTAATGTATTCATTATTCCTGCTCGAGTTATTCATAACTGGGATTTCAAAAGATATCCTGTTTCTAAAAGAGCAGCACAATTTCTTTTGGAATTTCAACATCAACCATGGATAGACATGAAAAAGCTGAATCCAAAAATTTATGTTGGAGTGTCAGATATGGCAAACTTGCAAGAATTAAGAGTTCAATTAAATTTTCTAAGAGCTTACATATTTACCTGTCGAGAGCCAGTAATTGAAGAATTGCAAAAACGGGTATGGCCAAGGGAGTATTTATATGATCATGTGCATTTGTATACAATATCAGATTTGGCTCAAATACCAAATGGATCTTTAGTTTTGCAATTGGAAAAAGTGGTCCACTTTGCTAAAGGTCATGTTTTAGAGTGTTGGCTCTGTAACCAGAAAGGCTTTATATGTGAGGTTTGCAGAGACCCAAAAATACTATATCCTTTTGAAACTAGTACAACATTTAGATGTGATGAGTGCTCAAGTGTATTTCATTCTAAATGTTTAAATGACACTTTGCCATGTCCTAAATGTAAGAGGAAGCAAGAGCGTACAAATGACTCATCTTTAATTGATGCACTACATAGTCTTAAATTGAAAAATACAGATAAGTGAAATGTGTAGTATATTGCTACATTGGAAAATAGTGCTGTTGTTGAAAAGGAAAACACAATTGGCCAAGACACCTAGTTTGTGTCAGTGCATTGTAAAATAAATGTTTATTAATAGAGTTTACCTAATTAGGATTAGGATAAATAGAAATAATATCATGTATATTGAGAAATTATTGGATTAAAAATCCTTTTGTAGTCCTTAACATGATTAGCATGTTAATTATTCTTATGACGGAATTATTATTATAACTGTATGTGATAATGAAATTAGTTAAACTAGAAAAATTTCACATATTTCAGAATCTAGATAATGTAGCATAGATTTATCTTTTCTGGACAGGACAATAGGATATTTTATAAAACACAATTTCAAATGTTAATATATTATCTTCTTAGTTATTAAGTTAATTTTGTTTTATTGTAATGTAAAGTTTATTTAACAAAAATTAGCAACATTAATTGTTTGGGAACCGGCTTGTAAAACATTGTTCACTAAACATATATTTAAGTTGCAAAATAAATACTAATCTATTTTTGACATTTAATGACTATCAACTACCCAAACAAATATACAAACACATCTAATAGTATGCAATCCTTATTAGTGAAAATAAAAAAATAAATACATAACAAGCATTTAATTGCTTAAACAAATATTAATTTTGCTTTCTTGTACTTATCTAGTTCTATTTAAATTTAATATATCATTAAGAAAAGTATCTACATTTTCTTTCTTATTATTTTTACTTTTACTGCTTTTCAATATTTGGCTAATGTCTTGGGGCTCATCTAATGAATATTCTTGAAAACAATTGTCCAGCAGTTTTTCTGGTTCATCTTGTTTCTTTGCCTTTTTTTTGGGCTGATAGCTTAAGGCATCTTTATCAAAGTCCAATGGTACAATTCCTAGGTCACCGCTATAGCGATTTTTCGCTACTTGTAAATATTTCTTTCCTCTGACTGCCGTCAATCGTTTATCCTTGAATTATAATATCTTTAGTTGAGATTATTTATCTCTAGTGTTTTTAAGATAGTTAATTATACAGGGTGGCCAAAAAGTCGTAGATCAAACGCAACTAGAGGATAGATGGGGAGAACTATAAATAGCATGTCTAACTCAAGGACTCATAAGTACCAATCTAGTGGATATTATGAAAAAGATACAGGATGTAGATTTTTTCGAATTTTAATAGGAATTAGTATAAAAAATCAATTTTCTTATAAAAACGCAAAATAAATTATAACTCTGCAAGGGTTGAGTTTAAGGACCTTCCATAAAACAATTTTTTGCAGCTGATGACCTCATCTATCCCCTAGTTGCGTTTGATCCACGAATTTTTGGTCAACCTGTATATATCTTCTGAATTCTGTTAGACAATCATTATAGAGTATCAGCATTATAATCACTTTAAAATGGTTTTAAATCAGTTCAAGAGTTCAGCAGCATTCACAGGTCAACAAACATTTATATCTATAGTTTTAATTTAATAACCCATGAACAAAATTTTACCACAACACAAATTACCTGAATAATTAATACATTATCAGCTTCCTGTGATGCTTTTGCACTGCCAAAAATAGAGCTAGTTGACAGGTCCTCAGAATCTCTTTCCTATAAATATTAATTACTATTACCAAAAGATATTCTGCTCACTGATTAAAGTAAATATAATAATAAGGTATAATTACATAGGGGTACGGTAAAACTTATTTTGGGATGAATAGTTATAAAGGCACGTACAGACATCGCGAGGCGTGCGTTGCGAATGGTTCGTCACGCATGCCTCAACCTGAGGCATACGACGGTACATTTATGCATGCGTCCCGAACGACACATGCAGTGGCGTAGCTACCTAGGGGCTAGGCGGGGCTGTGCCCCGGGGCCCTCAAGCTCAGGGGGCCCTCGAATCCCTACCAGAAATCTCGATCATTCTGAACTTTTGGAAATGTCTCCTATTTTCAAAATAAATATGACAGATTGCAACCCCACTTTAATCATGACAACTCAGTTGGGAGAAATTCAAAAGTTATGCCTAGGGAATTCCCCTAATTTTTTTCTGAAGTTGGCAGTGTTAAGATTTTTTTTGAGAACGGTTAAAAAATTAATGCTGTATGAGGAGTAAGATAATGTCAATAAGCTTTTTTGTACTGGTCAATATAATGGTTCAATTTTATTTGATTTTACCACTCATATTGATATCCGTTAAAGTCAATAAATCGTGTCAAATCTAAAGATTTCGGCTACAGCTAATTGTATAACGTGAATTAGATAACAATTGAAAACAAAGCCGCATCAAGCCTGGATTTAAACGAAGTCATTGATACTTTTGCGTTCTTTTACTGTTTAATATTTTTTTTACCTGCCCTGCACAACAAAACCTTAAGTAGCTTAGCATTTTTAAAGTATTTGTAAATTTCATATTTTGATCAGTTTACATAGCATTGGGGCCCCATTTTTTAATTTGCCCCAGGACCCTTAGTCACCTAGCTACGCCACTGGACACATGCCCAAGTTGAGCACGCAAACAACCACGCACGGTGTTCGTAAGTAAGAAAAATGGCTCCGGCAAGGCGAGACGTACATATTGCACTGCATTGCCTCGCGATGTATGTACGCGCCTTTAAACACAATGACCATCTGTTATTTGTTTTAAGGTTATGCAAGGATACTGTTGATTATATAATTGATAAATGGTACAATGCGAAAACAAATGAATTTATTATTTTCATTGCAAAAAGTAAAATGTTGTCTATCCAGTTTGTTTGTATTTTTCTAATTTCTTTATAGGTAATATTAAATACAAATATTATAGGCATATTTTTTATAAGAGGTTGATCATCCTAGTGTGATATTGCAAGTTTTGATTCCTCAGAAATCACGGGTCGCAAAACCACTTGTGTACATACCTTTCTAGGGTGCATGACAAGTGTAACATGGCAGTGCCTAGCAGTTGCAAAGGTTCTGAATGCGGTGATTACCGCGTCTTGCCGCAAATATCGGTCACCTTCTCTTTCCTCTCCCAGGCCGAGCATGAATTGCACGTTGTCTACCACCACGTGAGAGATATCGTACATGTAACGTGCGTGTTCTACCGCCTGTATACAACATTTATTTTTTATATTTTTACCCATTAAAATATTTTTATTATATATATTTTCTAATTTTTGTTTTCTTCTTTTTTGGCTTCTTAAGTCATTACTTACTTCCATTACTACTTTAATCGGTTGTTGTCCATGAAACGCGAGGTAGAAGATAGGAAGCTTCTGAAATTCATCAGCGAACTTTGGAAATTCGTTAAGATTCTGTTCTAGTGGCACTCCCGCAAATTGTTGCAGCATTGTACGAGCCAAACGAAAATTGCGGATTTCAAAACTACCCCATAGCGTTGTTACCTATAAAAAATAGTTATTATAACGTTAATAATATAAAGATCAGCCATACAATATTTAATAGAGAATACTATAAAACATTTTTAATAGTTTAGTACAAATTTTTAAAACACAGTCAACTGTGACTATACTTGCTGTTATGAAAACATTTAAATTTTTTTATTCAAAATAATTAATTTCAATTTAAACGTCTTTGAATACAGTAAATGTTCAGTAAAGATAACACAGTACATCTTATTTTTAAATAATAATAAAAGGCTTTTATTTCATAAACTATTTCTATCATCTCATACATTTTAGATATCCTTCTGCCCTCTTTTGACATAGGCCTCCTCCAAATCCCGATACTCCCGTCTACATTGTGCCACTCTCTGACATGTACCACATTCTTTCTCTATCTACCTTCTTAATTGTCTTCCTCTTTTGCGTTTATTGTATCTTGGGCACCAGTTTAATACTTTCTTGCTCCGCTTTTCTGTTCCTCTTGTCATGTAACCCGCCCATTTCCACTCGAGTGTATTTTATTGTACCATCACCTACCTTACTTATTCTTCTTAATGATGTTTTGTTTATTATATTTTCTTCCCTATCACCCATTGTTTCATCAATCTATGACACACCTGTAGCTTTGTATGCTGCGCTTTCGCTGGCGCCCAAGTTTGAGATCCATATGTTAGTACACAAGTATTGAAAACCTTCCTTTTAATTATCATGCTCGTTTTCTTATTTATCATGATTCTAAGCGCCCAAGCTCTTCCCTGCTTTTGCTATTATATGTGTTGATTTCTTTTATTGTTTTTTTTTTTTTTAAAGACAATTCACACCAATTGACCTAGTCCCATGCTAAGCTGGTGAAGCTTGTGTTATGGGTACTAGGCAACGGATATACATACATATTATAGATAGATAGACATATAAATGCATATTTAAACACCCAAGACCTAAGCACAACACCAAATGCTCATCACATCGATGTTCGTCTCAGCCGGGGATCGAACCCGGGACCCATGGATTCGCAGTCAGGGGTAGTAACCACTAGACCAATGAGTCGTCAAATTTGTTGCATTGGTGATAGATATTGTCTGACCGAGGTATGAGTATCCAAATACATATTCTGTAATACTGTTGTATCTTATCTATAGTACCTTTATAAAATTGGTAGTAACTTTAGTTTTCTCGACATTCATTCTAAGACCAACAATCCTTACCTTAATACCCTATACTTAATATAACATTTGCGGTTCTATATTCTGGGATAGGTTTCTATGAATAAAGCGAAATCTAAAATACAAACCCCTTGTTGTGCGAGATCAAGTGACATCTCTGCACAAAGCGTGGTCTTCCCACATCCTGTGGGTCCCGTCATCACTGTGAGCTCTCCTCTTCGGTGGCCCCCCAGCAATTTTGTAAGGGCTGGAAACCTCTTCCATTTCACTCCTCTCACCTATAACATTATTAAGATGGTAAAGTTGCAGTCTTATATTTTTGTTTAATGTTACACCTAAAACTCTAACTGAAAAGAGCAATAGTAGTTTAATGTGAGCATTCTGTGGCTAAAGATCAGCTTGTAATATATTTTGTTTGATTGAAAACGAAATAGTGTTATTAGATGTTATAATATATTTGCAATTATAATTGACAGGGCTATTTTAATTATGTAAGTTCATACCTTATCAATGTTTGTCAGTTCCGCATAAACATCATCTCTGAGCGAGGCAAATGTTGTAATAGATCTGTGTGAAGCAGGTTTTGCTTCTGACACAAGTGTTTTTAAAGATAAATTAGCTGAGGCGGCTTCTGACGCAGTTACCAGGCCATCAGTGGGTCTAAATAATCAAATTCATATAATTAAGTTAAATAGAATTAAGAATATAATATATATTGTCTCTCAGCAAGTATTGCATTTGGGCACACACGCCTTTTGTGAATAAAGAATAATTTACCTAACAAAAAAACACCTATCTTCCCCGAGTTTCTCTGCAACTGCTCTCATATTCTCCCAATCACCCCACAAGCAGAGCTTTTGGTATCGTTCCAAAACAGGAAGCACAACAGGTGGCAAACTACAGTTGCTCAACCATATTAATTTACCTGAAACATGAAGGGGACACACAAAAATTATCATTGAAATTTTTTTATACACAAGGTAAGGTATGAAAATTTCCTCTTTCTCAAAGGGCCCTAGTTTTATATTAATGTTAAATTGTGGCTTCTCACAATTATGCATAAACCAAATTATCAATAAAATACAATACAATGTAGATCCTAGGCATCTATCAGGGCTTATATGACATTAAACAATAAATATATAGTTTAAATCAAAGTAACACCCTTATTATGTGAGTTTTAGTATAACTATTTACTTGAAATCTTCTTACCAGCAACTTTATTAGAAGCTAAGCTTAATACATCCTGAATACTTGGCACTAAAATAGCCTGATCAGTCTTGAGAGTTTTAAATGATCGACATGAGAAAAGCCCAGCTAGATGATGACCGCAGGTCTCTACTTCCTCCTCTCTACCTGCTTGTATTTTTCTATATCCAATAATTGTATCCAAAGAATTTTTTAAGGGAAAATATAATACTGTCTGATCCTTGGATACTCGTACATCACATAGTACCTTGTGGGCTTCAGTGTGGTACTGAAACATATTTTCATATTACGCATAAGGAAACTGGGTATTTCACAAATCACTAACAAACTCTAACTTACAGGAAACTCAAATAATCGAAAAAGATCTAAAACTTCATTTTCACTTAGGTTTAATAATGAGGTAGTTTCAGCAAGGAGGTTCTCCCAATGTTTATCAAATTCATATTTATCTTGTTGCAACTTATCAAAGTAATCCTTTATACTTCCTTCCACTTTAGACTTCTTTATAAGTCTCTCAAGAATATTCCAATCACCATGTGCATTGCATTTAGGGCACAAGAAGTAACCTGCAACATTAGAATTGATACCTATTTTTTTGTAATGAATAAGAGTATATTTTAAAACTTACTTTGAACAGATAATTGGAATCTACAGGTATCACTTAGTAAGATTGTGAACGTACCAGTTGTTTTATTTATGTACACCTTACTATCGGGTTTATTTTCTTCACTAAGGCAAAGGGAGCACTTAGTAGTAAGGGACGTAAATCCATCTTGCACCGCAAAACCTTTCTGCCGCATTAGTTTTCGAATATCAGACACTAATATTTTTGGAATATCATTTATTCCCACATTTTGTATTTGTCGCAATAAACTTGCATTAAATGTATTACTAACATTTAAGAAATGTCTTACTATTGTTAGTCTTAATATTTTGAACATATTTATTGGCCTTTTATAAAATAAATTAGGGCAACAATTAAATCATTACAAAAAAAGTAAAATTAATACAATAATAAAAATGTACAAAAGTAAATTATATTGTATATAACCTAGATTAAGTTATTAAAAGTCTCCTCAATGTTTGTTTACATTTTCCATTTCCTTGTTTCGACTACCGATCCTTCCCACAGAGATCTACAGATCATTCCTAATCTGTGACCCTACGAATGTTGCTAATGTAAAATTTCTAAGCTGGCCAATAGTTTTGCCAATATTATGCACTGCAATAAAATTGCTAAAAATCCTGCCAAATTGTATTAAAGCCGAGCAGAGATTTCGTCTCTCGGATCTATTAATTGTTGATGCATCCATTAGATTTCTTCTTGACGTGTACCGTTATTCCCTGTAATTTTTCAGGGAATTTCGGTTACATTCTTTAAAAGTTTGTGCTAAAAATATTATGATATAAACAACAATAATTTTGAGCTATATGAAAATATGCATATAAATATACACAATACACAATGTACACCTACACACCGAACTCTATTTTTGTTTCTTGTCATTATTTTTATAGTGAATAGACGTTTAATGTATATGGACTATGGAGATAAACTATAGAGATGTCAATTATCAAGGCATTAGGCAATTACAATTTACATAGCCATTATTTACTCTTATTGGGTGTCATATCGCTGAAGTCAGATTTCCTGTTAATTGTCTGTGGTTACATGGTTGAGTTGTTGGTCAAGGAAATCAAAGAAGTTTGTTTTCTTTTGGACTTGGAATTCGTTTTTAAATCATATTTAATCTTTTTACTCCGCAAATTCCACAATTTATGAGATATTTCCATAATGGAGAAGTTAAGGCATTAGTAGAGATATACGTATCTAGGACAACCAGCATGAACTGTTAGGGGTGTATTGTGTTATTGTATTGTCTAGTAGATAAGTGTCCTTTCATCAGCCAAGATGGGGATTATGTACGAAAAACGACCTCTAAAAAGACCTCGATTAGGCCCCCCCGATGTGTACCCACAAGAACCCAGGCAAAAGGAAGATGAACTTACCTCAGCAAATGTAAAACATGGCTTCACAACTGCTCCACAATCTAGTGATGAGTTTGGAACAGCCAGAAATTTTAATCATTCTGCTTTCGCTACCAAGGTAATTAATTTACTTAACATTGAAGTTCTATATAATTTCCAGAGTGTAGCAATATGAAAGTCTTAGATAGGATCAATTTATAAATAATAATAACAAATTTTATTGTTTACTGTTGTTTCAGATTGGACAGTTCTTTTCTGGTATACTTTCCAAGAAGGAAGAACTCAATACATTACCTGATTGTGGAAAGAAGAGACAGCAAGTAAACCCTAAGGATAATTTTTGGCCTGCCACAGCAAGAACTAAACCACAAATTGAGGCCTGGTTTAAAGATTTAGCTGGTACCTAGACTAGGTTATTATTATTTAGAATTTAATGAATTGTGTTGTATTTTATAAAATTTTCTTGTATGCTTTAGGTAGCAAGCCACTGTCAGTATTAGCAAAAAAGGCCCCAAATTTTAACAAAAAAGAGGAAATATTTATAACACTCACTGAGTACCAAGTGGCAATGCCCAGAGCGGCATGGTTTATTAAATTGAGCTCTGCTTACACAGTTGCTGTTTCTGAAGCTAAAATTAAAAAGAGGCAGCACCCTGATCCTACAACAGGTCAGTTTTTGAATACACTATCTACACTTATTTGAGAAAATACATCAAATTGGAATAATATTTATGCTGATAGCTCTTAACCCAGCAATGCCCAGTTTCTATTTAAATTATTATTTTTGTATTTGTTGCAAGCATCTCACTTAAAATAACATTAATAAAGAGAAAAACAAGTTGTTTTAAAAAAAAATTGTTTATTTTGCGAAAAATCAAACGTGTCCATATATGGACACGTTAAGCGTTAAGGTGTACAAATTAAATTAAATCTTCACTAATTTAAATAACAAACAGAAAAAGAAAAAAAGAAGAAAGGACTTAATTGTTTTTGTGGTAATCCCTAAAGTAGTCGACGCAAAGGCCAACAGTACATTTGCCGCAAGCTGTTCGAACTGCGGAAGATTTAGTCTTGCAGTACGGACCCACACATCTCCTCTTTTTCTGTTTTAGTAACAAAATGTTTCATTTTGTCAAAGTGCGAAGTGTACGCTATCACTGAACTAGAAGTACTAGATCTCCCTAGCCCTTTGGGAATAGAGTTATATTTGCTCAAATAATGTTTTACACAATCTCCCTTCTGAAATCAAGCGGTGCCACTTTAGCGCCTGCTTTCCGTTGTAGTTGTTGCGATCGAATACAAGTACCCATCCTCCAGCTGAATAGGGCCCAATACCATTTTTTGCTTCTAATGTGTATTCGATACATATTTATATTCTCGTCCATACGATCGACGCCTCCCATGAACCGATTATATTTACCAAAAAGATGAGGACGTGGGACCTGTACATTCGTTTATCTTTCTCTGAATAACGCTTCACAGTACTTATGGGTACCCCCAGATTACTAGAAGCAATAAACACTATACGCCATCTTCTTTGCTTATCGCTGACTTATAATACCCTCTTTTTTCTTTTTTCTTTGCTTGTTTGTGGTGAGCTTCGGGCATTTTCGCAAACGATTTTCACGTACGGAACCTGTCGCGCCATAGCCATAGCCTTATCGAAGATAATTCAGCAACTACAGACTTGTGAAGAGGCATTCAAAATATCACTCAATGTTCTTTGGTTTTTGAATATTCCATAATCCATATACCTGATAACAAGAAAGCGGAAGCAAAGTAATGTCAGCTCATTCAAGTGCTTAGCGTGTCCATATGGACACGCGAACAAATTTGTTCTAAAACTCGATCGAAACAATATTTTCACTTAGGTTATCATTTCAAACGTCAGATAACACTATTGACCATAATCCTATGCAAAAAGCAGTTAGCGTTTAAAATAATTTATAAGAAAAATTACTTACTTTCCACTGCCATCCATGTTTTTTCCAAAGTTCAAAATCAAACTAAAACTAGAACCTTATTTTACACGCAATACTCACTCGCGCTAAAAATAAATGTCATTTGATACTTTGATAGTAGTTACATGGCATTGCCAAAATAAGAAAACAGTCTGACTACAGTCATCGCTTAAATTTTCTACTTACTGCGTGTCCATATGGACACGCTAGGCATTGCTGGGTTAAGTACTGTTCTTGGCAAATAATGTTCCCCTTCCACTTAAAGTCTGACCAATTGCTTCTGACCTTAAACCTCATGATTCATATCATCATTTTTTATTGAAATATTGTTAAGTATTTCAAATGTCTCAATATTACATATTACCTAACATATTAAATTATGTTTCAGAATGGACAACAACATTAATCAAATTTCTAAAGGATCAAATACCAAAGTTAGCTGAATATTATCAAAGTGGCTTAGGAAATATATCTGACAAAACTCCACCATCTCAATCAGGTAAGTTATAAATCGTTTTATGTCTCAACTATGACACATTCCAGTACCAGGTTAATATATTTCTTTGAATATATTAAATTATAGCAATAATAATTGATTTTTATTTTAATAACCCTTACAGGTCAGGGTACTCCGAGTCACAATATATCAGGACATCTACCAGGCAGCTCAACACCCAATTCCACTGCATCAAATTCAATGCACTCTCCTGGGAGTTCAAGCTGTATGGGTTTTTATTTATTGTTATTATATGTATTGTAAAAAAAGGTAATTTAAAATTAAAAAATAGTTTATCAGTGATGCTACTATGTATGTGCTTAAAGAAAGGTGTTGACTTTATTAAAGCTAGATACTTATTTAAACAAAAAGTTTAATGGTTTTTATATCATTTAGCAAATTTCTGAAAAAAAAAAAATAGTGTACATCTCTATCATTTTAGTATTAGGGTCATCAACGCCAGGACCAGAGAGCACAGACTGGCGTCAAGCTTTAAAACAATGGAACTATTGTTGCCGTCTAGCAAAGTATCTTTTAGATGAAGGCTTATTAGACAGGCATGATTTTCTCAGTTGGATTATTGAATTACTTGACAAAAGAACTCTTGATGATGGTCTACTGAGGTAATTTTTTTAGTTATTTTAAGATACATGTGAAATGCCACAAGCACGCAATCCTATTTGTTGTAATATGAAACATAAACAAATATAAGCTTACTCCTTGTTTTGGTATGATATAACTAACAAATTAATTCTATTAACTTACCTAATTAACACAAAGAACAAACTTAAATGTATGGGTTATTTTCACGAAATTCCGAAATTCGGCTATCTTAAAATGACAAGAAATATTGAAATTATTTGATACTTATTTTATGTGAATTTGATAGTATTAATGTTACTAGAATTTAATTATGTAGTGGTCCCAAAAATTATCGCCTTTTATGAAAGTTATGAAGATATTCAAAAAAATTCAAAGTGAAGGAATGACAATTAAGGTAAAGGAATGATTATTACAGACAAGTTTTGAAGCTATTTAAAAAAAACATATGTGTGTTGAATATGCACAAAATTAAATTTATTATAGAACACAAAAAAACAATTATACTACTTATAAATGTGGGTACGCTGGATTAAACTATATTTTAAATCTATTGTTTATAATTAAAACATTAACTTATTACAGGTTGTTTCTCCCTTTGGCATTACAATACATGTGCGAGTTCGTATGTTGCGAGAGTCTATCACGCCGCCTTGCTACCACTTGTGCTAAGAAAAGTGCGGCCATATGTTCAGTTCTCTCTGAAACAACACTTCGTACACTGAATCAGCCAGTTGTTTTTAAAAATGATAGAAATACAGGTTAGCTTAGTTCTAGTTAAATCTCTTTTTAAATTTTATAATAGGCTTACAATACAAAATATGTTGCTTACTATTCTCATTTTACTTTTATTAAAGCTAAGTATTGGGTTTGACGGTTGCATTAGGGCGTGACC